AGCCGTGCCATTTTTCTCTTGTCAGAGGAGTACACAAAGTATACGTCATCTGGACTAACATTTTCGGTTCGGTGGCTGGGTTAGATCGCCAACTTTGTGTTCTGGCGATTGGGTGCCTCACTCACAGTGTGGGTTCAAATCCCGGACGGGACTCAACCCAAGAAAGTACGAGAATCTGTACTTTACTCAGAAAGTGTTATATCAATTATAACATTTGTTGTCAAGAAAACACAATAAATGTATATTCGGCTTTGGATGGGTAATGATATCACAGACATATACGGATATTGATGATGACTTGGAGGAGCTTCGTAACGCACGTCTTCTCAATTCAGGGATTGGTAAATCCAAATATATGTGTGCGTGCGTGCGTGCGTGCGTGCGTGCGTGCGTGCGTGCTTGCGTAAATGTGGGCCTGTTGGATGTTACATAAAACATTCATCTTGAGCGGGATGGTAGTTCGAGTTGGATTAGCATGTTAACTATATGATCTTCTTTAGGCAGAGAATGCCGCGCATGAATGTAGTGATGAAATTCCTAGGTACATGGGGCCTTTTCGTCCCCAGGAATACCCACAGTGGAGACTTCAATGGGGATAGGGTGTACACAATGTGCTACCTGGTAGATTGTGTGTCATCAGACCGGACAACGTTGGTCTTTGACTGATTGTGGCGTAAAACACACCTATTCATTTACTTATATCGGAAATTGAATGTTCATCTTAATTGTTATTGTTGAACATGTAATATATTTTTAAAGAAATAAAACAGTGACATAATAACTACAACTTTATGTGAGCGCGAGTAGCTTTTTTGGAATGAGATGAATAAGTCTTATAAAGTTGTAAGCTTCTTCACAACCGTGTAACTATGAATTGACTTTATTGGGTAATCAAAAAAGAGAGAGGACCTAAAATAGCCAAATTTCATACGATTTCACTTGTCCACCATCTTGGATGCAAGGCGAAAACATTTCAGCGCGTTTGAAGCCACTGAGAATGCCCCCTGCAGAGTTGGACGAACATTCTGCGGTGGCGCGGCTGAGTTGACCAGAGGCTATCAGCAGTATTTCCTGTCCAGGTTGTTTAGGTCAGTTGTGTGTGTGTGTGTGTGTGTGTGTGTGCGTGCGTGTGTGCGTGTTTGCGTGTGTGCGTGCGTGCGTGTGGGGGATGGGGGCGGGGGGGGGTGAGATTGGGGGGATAGATGATAGATTTAGCAACAAGTAAGGTCATCTTGAGTGGGAGGGTATTCGCAGATGGATTAGCATATGAACTATGATACTCTTTAGGCAGAAAATGAGGATCCACGATGTTCAACCTGGTAGAAGTGTGTTATCAAACCTCACAGCATTGGTTTTTTGACTGACTGTAGCGTCAAAACAAACTCATTCATTTACTTGAACTGAATGTTCATCTTAATTGTTATGGATAGTCACGGAGCCATGATCCAGAGAACAGGGTGTCATTAGATAGAAATAAACTAAGTAATAATAGGATTACCAGAAAAACGGGGTTTTACACACAAGCCAATAAACTTCGCTCATTAACACCAGAGAAAGTCAGTACACGATTGAAAACTGCCCCATAATTATGTATGACATGCTTGTCGGGTATTGCTACATATATATGTGAAAACAAAGTTATTAAAATGAAGAGCAAAACTGATGAAAGTTAACAATAAACGTGTATACGTGTTATATCGTTACTGCAAAAATAATGATTGTTTGTCTTTAGTATTAACATTCAAATACGTTATATCTGTATTAGCGATATTGTCTTTGTTCCACCGGTGAGTCAGCGTTAGCCGTACTATCTCGTAGTATAATTGTATTTCTGAAGACATCACGATACAGTTTTTACGTTGCATCACGTCTGCACTGGCGCTTGATAACAGCCTTGTGTTTGGGTGTTTCAGTGGTTTAAATCGCTGCTCTTGATATTGTTGATTAAACTTTGATACTATCAACAATATAATGTTATGTGAGGGGTTGACTTTAGAACGGTAACATTCTAATAGTATATAGGATGACATAAACAGAACAATGAGAAGTTCGTCCAGATAAGTGTATAGGCAACATTTAATAATTAAAATAATTACATTCAACAACTCCCCTTTTAAGTCCATTTTCCTGACTTATAAGTAAATGCAAGAACAATCGGCCGGAATACAATGTATAGTTCTTGTCCACTTCCATATGACTATATAGCATACAATAAGCTATCGGGTCCCGTTTAGATCGGTTTGGGTGGCAGCCTAGATAGCCATAGAATAGTTTCATCTTGGAATCTCCCATATCACTGGGGATCCTCTTCAATTTAAATGGAGTTACTCGTTACGATTCCGAACCTTCACGTGACTGTGTTTATGAACCATTGTCAAATAGTTGTGACATTAAATCTAGGAAACAATACGCGAAATCGCGCATGCACGGAACGGAAAATTTGGTCAAGGCATTAAGTAATCCGCATGCGCAGAACGATTGATTTCAGTACTTCCGCTAAGCGCTTCGAGTGCAGCGTCAAACGCGGGCCTGTAATCTAACACGCGGGGACTGACCAATGAAATCTGAGAAGTAGAAATACCGGTAGACGCTGTTGCTTGATTGACAATGTCAGTCAAGAAAGGGAGGAGCTTAACGCTATCGTTCTCTCCCAGTAAATTCCGATGTCAAATAACGACGTTATTTGGACGGAAAAACGATGGTTTGAAAACGTCCAAATAACGTCGTTTTTCCGTCCAATGACCATATACGGAAAAAAACGACGTTTTCGTGTTTGCCGTGAATTGTCAACTCGTTGCGAAATGATTCATTTATATTTCCCCCATATACCATGTATATTCCACGTTCTATTTATACATATCGGGACTTACGGTATTATACAGTAAGATTGAACATATATAACTGTATATTGAGTACATGTTTAGATGCAAGACATGTAAAATCACAAATTATTCCTGAGGGATTCTTTGAAAGTACTTGAAGTCATAAGCGCATTCTGATTGGTATGTCGTATTGTCGCACATAACATTCATGGAAAGGGGGATGCGTCTTCTTGCTGCAGGTTACGAGTGTGTAAGTTGGGTTTAACGCCGCTTTTAACAGTATTCCTGTTATATCACGGTGTGTCAGCTTAATGTGGTAGGTAAGCCCGAATTGATGCAGGGCTCAGACGTTTACCACTTCCGTGAAACCTACAAGCACGGGTATGGTGCTGACAAACCTAGAAACATAATCGGGGCAAACCGTGATTCGGACCCACAATCATAGGTTTCTGGCGTGCCCAAGGGACGCAAATCTGCACAGCGAATCGCGGCGCCTTAGACGACTGGGCCATCCGTGCCCCCCCCCCCCCCCCCCCCCCCCCCCCCCCTGCGAGTGGTGACGAATGGTACCCATACTCACATGCCTACATACATGTATATACACACACCCCGCATCATAAGTCAACCTTCATGCATCCTGCATGGATCCATCAATATTAATATCACAGTTAAGATCATTAACATGCAACCAAGCCACAAATAACGTCGGCGACAACACGCAGCCTTGCTTAACACCACCATGAATTAAAAAACAAACATTGGTTAAATGACTCTTTACAGAAACTATTGCCCGATTGTTTTCATACAACGCTTTAACAGCTTAGTAGAAATTACCATTTACATTTTTAATGTTTACCAGAGACAGTCACGAATAATCGATCGAAAGCTTTCTTTGCGTCAATGTTACAATCAAAGTTAGCACATTTAGATAGCTTTCGGTTGTTGATTATAGAATATAACGTATATATCATGTGAACTAGTGCTTCTTTTTCACAGAAGCCATTTTGTCCATCACATAAACTCCCATAACTCTCAAGACAAACACTAAGACGGGTATTTAAAATATCAAACATCGCTCACTAATCAGTATAAAACATTGTTCACTGAAAGTTGGTGAGCTAACCCATTCTAATGGAAACATCGCTTACGAGATGGCCCCCACTTAAGCGGATTAAGGATCAAAGTTTACCTAACTAGAACTAAGAAAAAATATTTTAAAACGATTAGAAATATACCTGAAAGGGGGATGAATAACAATAATACTGATAAGACACTTGGGAAGTACTATAATGATACCTAGTGAATTGTTTACCAGAAAAAACACACGGGAACATAATTATTGTACATGTGAAAATAGGGAACTGTACCAAACTTTCGTCACTGATGCTCGCACTTGGCAATTTCCTGCACATTTTACCATCACACTGTCGTATGGCGCTTTTTGAAATCTTCGAACTAGAAAGATCATGTCCAATTGTACGCCACCAACTATTTGAAGCTGGATTGGTAAACAAGTAAAGTGAGTGAGTGAGTATTGTTTTACGCTGCTTTTTAGCAATATTCCGCCGAAGACCCGGGTTCAATTCCCAACATGGGTACAATGTGTGAAGCCCATTTCTGGTGTCCCCCGCCGTGATATTGCTGGAATATTGCTAAAAGCAGCGTAAAACCATACTCACTCACTCATAGTATACCATATGTTTGGAATATGTTCTTTATTACTCAATATGTTTTTTTCATGTGACGGTGCCAACAGTGGGGCAGGGTACGCACACCTATTCGTGAACACCTAGTATCATCTCTATTTGGTAGTGATTCATAAACACATGCTTCTGCGTGAGTGAGTGAGGTTTAACGCCGCTTTTAGCAATATCCCAGTAATATCACGGCGGGGAACACCAGAAATTGGCTTCACACATCGCACCCATGTCGGGAATCGAACCCGGGTTTTCGGCGTGACGAGCGAACGCTTTAACCACTAGGCTACATGCTTCTGATATAGTCGGAATCGTATACTGGAGTCTGCTTTCAGTGGAGAATTCTGATGAATATGGAAATGGTTTTATCGCATTTTTATGTCGAATCACCCCAGCAGGAAGTTGACAGATATGTCAAGATGTAAGTATGTGATCATTGTATCACAGAATACAAATGCCTGACTCCCTTAATGTGTTCCAGGTACACGTTAAACGTATTCTCCGACAATGCGGACATCGAACTGCACGTACTTGCGCGGGACGACGGGTCGGTGTGGGGCAGGCAGAGGCTGAATGGCACATGGGTGAACACCGTCACTGACACTCGGGACCCCTTCAGGCCTCTCAACACGACATTCACCTGCCTGATGGAGACCAAGAAGGACAAGATAGAGGTACGGAGAACATGTAGTGCAAACATTCTCGATTATCCAGCGTATTATTATGTCTGCATTCAATTATGATATACATACATGCCCTGGACCCACACGTGGCCAAGTTTCGTTGCGGAAGTGACGTCACGATCTCAACCCCCGTATTACTAGCTTAGCACAGGAGTTAGAAGTCGCTTGTGAGCTTGAACTCACCCTCACCAACCAAGGGTAATAGTAGAGAAAGACGGGGGTCATAATGCTACCAGGCTTCCCCAGTTATATTTGAGAAGATACATAATAGTGAGTGAGTGAGTTTGATTTTACGCCGCTTCTAGCAATATTCCAGCAATATCACGGCGGGGGACACCAGAAATGGGCTTCACACATTGTACCCATGTCGGGAATCGAACCCGGGTTTTCGGCGTGACGAGCGAACACTTTAACCACTAGGCTACCCGATCGCCACCGGTACATAATAGCACGACTCGAGTATCCGTGACATGTTACTTCCCCTACAGTGGTAATATAAGAGGAAGACGGGGTCCTAATGCTACCTAATGTTTGTTTTGTTGTTTAACGCCGCACTCAGCAATATTCCAGCTATATGACGGCGATCTGTAAATAATCGAGTCTGGTCCAGACAATCCAGTGATTAATATCATGAGTATCGATCCGCGCAATTGGGATCGATGACATGCATCAACCAAGTCAGCGAGACTGACCACCCGATCCCGTTAGTCGCCTTTTACGACAAGCATAGTCGCCTTTTACGGCAAGCATGGGTTGCTGAAGACCTATTCTATCCCGGATCTTCACGGGTCTCCAGGGTATTTATCATAATGGAGCTGATATACGAGACGCTGGGGAATCGAGAATGCCAAACATCCAGACATCCACGACATCCATGTCCAGATTGATGCCTCTGTCTAACACTAGTGATTTAAGTGATCAACTAAAGGAGACGAAACAAATAACCACACCAACATTCTTTCACACTATATTTCAATGTCAGTGAGTTTGCAGTTTGAATGGTAAATATTTCCCTCTGTTTCAGTTCTCAGTGAATGGGTCCGAGTATTTCAGCTTCCCGTATATACAAGGCCCTACTGATATCTACCGATTTGTCCTGCAGCATGACCTCGAGCTCCTGGAGGTGGACATGCGGATATAGGCGCCGGGACGAGCACAATGAGTGCCATGATGAACTGATTGCAGCAGGAACCTGTTATGTTATTGTGTGTACACCTATGTTAAATATACAAACATCTAAATATACAATCAAAGCTTTCTGATTATGTACGCATGAAGTAGTGCTGACATTAGTAAACCAATGTAAATATATTTAAAGCCGTCTCATTTTATTGCAATGCTGAACTTTGCTATTGACACGAATACATAGAAAGTATAGTAGTATCACCGACTGTATTTATTATTTTTAGTCTGTAAAAATAGTCATGTGACGTGCGTGGTAATGGTTCATTGTTGTCGATGTCTCAGCTAAGGTATGGGATTACACAAATAACGCTATGAAAATAATCATGAATAGATCATGACCATTTGTATTGTCCGTGATGACGCGTGGCCGGTTCGACTGGACCCCGCAAGGAGTACCCAGTTGTTCCACATGCTCACATTCACAATAAAATAATGTTATGTAATTTGTGTCGCACCTATAAAGGAAGGGAGGGTTTTTTGCGACATACACAATTACACCGTTTTATTTTTTTCAAATAACAAAGTGATAAATTTGAACATTATCTAGCGTCTAATCATGGGGAGGGTACCATGGCCAATCCCCCCCCCCCCCCGCGGTACTTTTCTGTCTAAGCATGTGTCTTGAACTAGAATTCTGCTTTGAATGTTTCTAATACTAGACAATTAAATAATAGAAAAAAACCTTTCGTTGTTCGTATCTTTCTTAAATTTCTAATTGTGTGTCCATATTTCAGAGAAAAACGTTGGGCTGTGCGAGTGTTTTACAGACTTCCAAACTCGCCCTAATTGTGTCTTTGACATGTGCCACTCTAAGCGTCCTTCCCTCCTCAAGCTGGCACCCATGGTTGGTTTTTGTTTAAGGCAGCACTTGGTTGTAGGGCGGCGGCCTGAAGATAATCGAGACTAGGCCCGACAATCAAGTGACAATCAGGAGAATCTGCGCAATGTGGATACGATGACATGCACCAACCAGTGAGCCTGACCACCCGATCCCTTTAATAACACGGGTAGATGACCACGTCAAACCCAGAACTTCACCCGTGTTCTAGTATCTGAAATAGATTTCACAGCTGCGTTACACTCAGCCCCACTCACTGTACAAATCTCAGAATCGTCCCATTTCCCGGAACAGTGATAAACAGCAAACAGATGCAATATTCACATGCTGGTAGTTACAGTAAACGAACTTAATGCTTTTTCATATCCCAATATATGTTTATTGGAGGTTCCTTTTGATTCGACTAATTTGAAAGCTTCACGTGTATACACTGCATCTTGAAAGTGTAGTAAAGAACTATATATAACTTTATAACAACATACGATGATGTCAGAACATCTCAACCCTACAATATGTTGTCAGGATGTTGCTATTTCAAGCAATCTAGAATAACATTTCCCTAGAAACCCATCTCTGTTTTGTTACAATCTCATCAGATAATTGCATTGTCTGTGTCTAGCCCGCGGGACATACATATAAGATTTATAAGTTCAAAGCTGAAAACTATTCACGATGAAACAAACCAGTACGCACTGATCCCTGAAAAACATATACGTTATTATTCACCGAGGAAGTAATTCTAACATGGAAACCGGCTATGATATATAAGCTGCTAGGCAAAGTCAATCATCGATCAGTGTCTTGAAAACATGATACAGCCAATTCTAAGAATCACCAATTAACCTCACAATGGTGGCGTTAGAAAAAGGTGAACATGAAGTGCCAAGGGTACACTCGAAGGTTCAGGCCACATTCTACAGTTGTAGTCGTGTAACGCACTGCGCCAAGTGCAGGTCACATTATACAGTTGTAGTCGTGTAACGCACTGCTCCAAGTGCATGCCACATTTACAGTTGTAGTCGTGTAACGCACTGCTCCAAGTGCATGTCACATTGTACAGTTGTAGTCGTGTAACGCACTGCTCCAAGTGCAGGTCACATTGTACAGTTGTAGTCGTGTAACGCACTGCTCCAAGTGCATGCCACATTGTACAGTTGTAGACTGTAACACACTGCTCCAAGTGCAGGTCACATTGTACAGTTGTAGTCGTGTAACGCACTGCTCCAAGGGCAGGTCACATTGTACAGTTGTAGACCGTAACATACTGCTCCAAATGCAGATCACATTGTACAGTTGTAGGCTGTGTAGTGCACTGCTCCAAGTGCAGCTCGCATTGTACAGTTGTAGGCTGTGTAGTGCACTGCTCCAAGTGCATGTCACATTTTACAGTTGTAGACTGTAACATACTGCTCCAAGTGCAGGCCACATTCTACAGTTGTAGACTGTAACATACTGCTCCAAATGCAGATCACATTGTACAGTTGTAGACTGTAACACACTGCTCCAAGTGCAGGTCACATTGTACAGTTGTAGTCGTGTAACGCACTGCTCCAAGTGCAGATCACATTGTACAGTTGTAGACTGTAACACACTGCTCCAAGTGCAGGTCACATTGTACAGTTGTAGTCGTGTAACACACTGCTCCAAGTGCATGTCACATTGTACAGTTGTAGACTGTAACACACTGCTCCAAGTGCATGTCACATTGTACAGTTGTAGACTGTAACACACTGCTCCAAGTGCAGGTCACATTGTACAGTTGTAGTCGTGTAACACACTGCTCCAAGTGCAGATCACATTGTACAGTTGTAGACTGTAACACACTGCTCCAAGTGCAGGTCACATTGTACAGTTGTAGTCGTGTAACACACTGCTCCAAGTGCAGGTCACATTGTACAGTTGTAGTCGTGTAACACACTGCTCCAAGTGCATGTCACATTGTACAGTTGTAGACTGTAACACACTGCTCCAAGTGCATGTCACATTGTACAGTTGTAGACTGTAACACACTGCTCCAAGTGCAGGTCACATTGTACAGTTGTAGTCGTGTAACACACTGCTCCAAGTGCATTCTACATTGTACAGTTGTAGACTGTAACACACTGCTCCAAGTGCATGTCACATTGTACAGTTGTAGACTGTAACACACTGTCTAAGTGCAGGTCACATTCTACAGTTTTAGTCGTGTAACGCACTGCTCCAAGTGCACGTCACATTGTACAGTTGTAGTCGTGTAACACACTGCTCCAAGTGCATGTCACATTGTACAGTTGTAGGCTGTAACACACTGCTCCAAGTGCATGTCACATTGTACAGTTGTAGACTGTAACACACTGCTCCAAGTGCAGGTCACATTGTACAGTTGTAGTTGTGTAACGCACTGCTCCAAGTGCATGTCACATTGTACAGTTGTAGACTGTAACACACTGCTCCAAGTGCAGGTCACATTGTACAGTTGTAGTTGTGTAACGCACTGCTCCAAGTGCATGTCACATTGTACAGTTGTAGGCTGTAACACACTGCTCCAAGTGCAGGTCACATTGTACAGTTCTAGTCGTGTAACGCACTGCTCCAAGTGCATGTCACATTGTACAGTTGTAGTCGTGTAACGCACTGCTCCAAGTGCAGGTCACATTGTAAAATTGTAGACTGTAACACACTGCTCCAAGGGCAGGTCACATTGTACAGTTGTAGACTGTAACACACTGCTCCAAATGCAGATCACATTGTACAGTTGTAGACTGTAACACACTGCTCCAAGTGCAGGTCACATTGTACATTTGTAGACTGTAAAATACTGCTCCAAATGCAGGTCACATTATACAGTTGTAGTCGTGTAACGCACTGCTCCAAGTGAAGGTCACATTGTACAGTTGTAGACTGTAAAATACTGCTCCAAATGCAGATCACATTATACAGTTGTAGACTGTAAAATACTGCTCCAAATGCAGGTCACATTGTACAGTTGTAGACTGTAACATACTGCTCCAAGTGCATGTCACATTTTACAGTTGTAGACTGTGTAACATACTGCTCCAAGTGCAGGTCACATTGTACAGATACACACTGCAACATACGGCATCGCTCAAGTAATTTGAGGTCGTCATTTCATAAATATGTAGGGTTAGACATGATGGTGATGACATTGTGATTTGGACAGGCCCTTGCCATTATACACATTTATACATGCAAAAGGGGGCACGTGTGGCCTGATAGTGCCTGGAGGTATTAAGATAGTGCCTTCCACATCCCTTCTGGTTTTCCTCAGACATCAAGAGGACACGCCATGAGACGACAGCAACGTTACTTAAAGGGAATTAGACAAAACACATTCACTCACTCACAATAACGACGCAACTGTTTTCAGCAAATGAACTTGTGACGTGGTCAGACCTAAAGCTGTGGTATGTCGGGAACTACGAGTGAGTGAGTAGTGATGCAGATCGCACATATTCACGCGTCTTTGGAACATGCGAGTACGGCTGTGGTGCCGACAAACTATGAACCAGGGCGAATCTGGAATTCGAACCTACGACCAAACGCCTAAGGGATGTAACTCTTCTCAGCGTACTGCGGCGCTTTTTGCAACTGGATATGTCTACCTCCACTACATTGTAGAAGCGTCACAACCAATAATACATCATTATTAGGATCCATGAACAGTGGGGGGCACGGGTGGCTGTGCAGAGTTGCGTCCCTTGGGAACGCCAGAAACCTATGATTGTGGGTTCGAATCCCGGTTCGCCCCGATTATGTTTCTAGGTTTGCCAGCACCATACCCGTGCTCATGGATTTCACCGAAGTGGTAAATGTCTCAGACCTTCATCACTTCGGGCTTTCCTCCCAAATTAAGCTAACACGCCGGAATACTGTTAAAAACGGCCTTAAACCCAACTCGCTCACTCACGATATGCTGGTTCAATTCCCAGTCCAATTACGAATCAGCATACTCAAATGCGTATTTTGGACAAATAACCTTATAACATTATCATTGAAACCCGTCTAAATACCAGTTTGGGAGTATATTAACTGAACTAGTCGAAAGAATGAAAGAAAGACATATATATTTTTGTCATTCAATCTGGAGGGATGCCCATCTAAGAAGCAACTTATATTGATGATATATGCATAATTTTTATTACAAGTTTATAATTCAATATTAACCAATACAGTTTATAGTTCTATCATGTTGACATAATGTGTTTATTACTATTGGTTTGAATACTTCTTGAAATATTGTGGACATGTTTTAATATCACCTTACAAGTAACATATGTTTTCACAACTTGCTCGCAAAATAAACATTTATGGTACTGAAGATTTATTTTACTTGTCAGATTTGTTTGTTGTGCATGATATATCTTCAAATGCATAATACAATAAATTGATGAAAGTAAATCATATTATATGTTTTCTAAACTTCATTTCAAGTGTTCATATAAAAAAGGTGTTGGGTAGCCTTGTGGTGAAAGCGTTCGATCGTCACACTGAAGACCCAAGTTCGATTCCCCACATGGGCACAATATACGCAGACCATTTGTGGTGTTCCCCTTTGTGATATTGCAGGAATATTGCTAAAAGCGGCGTAAAACCATACTCACTCACTCATATAAAAATGATTGCACATTTCATAAATCTGAACTTATTGAAGATAATCTGAAACTGTTCCAGGAGATTGCTGAAGGGAACAACAAACGAACAAACAACAAAGACTTATAATTATGATTTACCCATTCCTTGATTGTGGGGTTCTACGGTAATTCCTTTGGGACACATACATCTGTTTCCACCTCTACTTAGTATTTGATTCCTGGAAACTACATTTGGAGCCACAATACATTCATACAGAAAAGAATTTTATCAAAGATTTCAGGGCATTTTTTTATTTGAAATTTGAGCCCTGGGTCGTCTCTTACTGGCCCACTGGTGTAAAGAACTCATTAGGTTAGGCCTACATACTGTATTTGCTGGGGGGGGACCTCATGGTGGCTAAGGGTGAGTGATGATGTATCCGCAGCAGTCAGAGGTTCAAGTATCCAGTTTGTTACTGATGGGAGCGACATCCAGACAGCACGGCTTATCTGCCTTGGACTGCATACCCGCACAGTAACAACTTGTGCACCTGTAACATTATTGCATCAGGATAATATTATAGTATTTAATACATTATATTTTTACATAATTGATCCTAATCACCACAATGGTTTAATTATGTCTAAGTACATATATAACAGAGTTATACTGTAAACAGACTATATTTTGTTATGAAATTGAATTTTAACCACATGATATAAGGTTTGTTAACATTTATAATTAGTCAGGTCGGGAGGTCCAAATGTCCAAACAAAGATTTACAATTTCAAATATTTCTCTACTAATATTCAACACGTGTTACTAGTCTCTTAGATAATTTATCTATATTGAAAGTGACAGTAAATGAGCTTTTTGCAAACATTTTACATATATCTGGTCCACTCAGTTGAACAACCCACTGTTTTTAAAAATGAATCATATATTAAATATTTCCTCCTTTTTTATAGGCGGGGCACGGGTGGCCCAGTCGCCTAAGGCGCCGCGATTCGCTGTGCAGAGTTGCGTCCATTGGGCACGCCAGAAACCAATGATTGTGGATTCGAATCCCGGTTCGCCCCGAGTGTGTTTCTAGGTTTGTCAGCACCATACCCGTGCTCGTGGGTTTCACCGAAGTGGTAAACGTCTGAGACCTGCATCACTTCGGGCTTTCCTCCCACATTAAGCTGACACGCCGTGATATAACTGGAATACTGTTAAAAGCGGCGTTAAACCCAACTCACTCACTCACTCACTCACTTTTTTTATAGTTTGTAAACACGTTTTTTTTTATAGCTGGCCTCAAAATAGATGATAAATAGTTTCCCTGCAAAGTTGCAATGCATTTTCTATGAACAAACCAATAACCAATTATCTATTATATAGAATAAGATATAGGCCTACTGCAATAACTGGTTTCATACACTAAACACATTAGTGGGATGATCTATCGTGTCACTTTCAAATGGGGACTGTTTTGTTTGGCGGCTGCTGGTGCTGGTGCTGGTGCTGGTGCTGGTGCTGGTGCTGGTGCTGGTGTGAAGTACGACATCCAGTTACTTATCCATAAAATATGGCACTTATTTTTTAATTCGGATTGGAAAAAATTAAAAAGAACCTTTAGAAACGTACTGGGATGTACCACATTTTCGTGTTACTCTAAGCATATGGTCTCTTAATCAGCGGGTAGACCTAATGTGTAATCTTGTTGAGACAACGTTTGGCGACAGATCGTATTTGTTTCATGATATTGCCAAGTAGCATGGATCAGTAGCCTATAGGTGGTGGGAATAGTTACACCTAATACAGACAAACTCAGATTGACGACAATGCCGATACCGGCGATAGGTTGGTAATAGGGTGGGACAGAATGAATAGGCCAGCTCACGAAGCATGCGGGTCACCAGGCGTGACAAACGTTTCTTAGGATAATACGTTTCCGCTTCTGAAAACGTAATAATGAGCTCATAGGTAATTTAGGTATACACACATCAAAGTGTTATTTTTACCACGTTGTCACTTGTAATTGTGAATATGTCGAGACGGAGTCGGGTGACACATCAGGTGATGTGGGTCTTCTCTTGTTTCCACTTGATTTCCATTGTTTCCATACCGCGAAGCTTGCTCGTTTTGGTTCAAAAGCGTATGGTTTTGCGATTTCTCGAAGGGTCAAGGGAACTTCTTGGGACCAGGCAATATATCGGATGCCATGTTGTCTCACAATAAACTGGTACATAATATATATTGCGTTATGACAAGACAGGGACCCAGTTAAATTGGCACCAATTACATCATAATCTAAGGGGGATAATTCAGGCCTGTTTAGCTCGGAAAACGAGCTCATAACGGCATGACATTTTCACACTTATTGAGTTCCCTACTTCCACAATGAGAAAAATGAGTGTTCATTTTCAAACACTGATACTAACTAATTCTAAAATTGCGTTTAGTTTAAAATAAGAAAGAAAGTCATTTTTGCGTGTACACTTTTAAAACCGACTTGTTATTTCCTTATGATGATATTACCTCAATGCTCTTCATGAGAAACACGGTTCAAAACGGCGCGGTAACCCACCCCACTCAATGATGTTCATCAATCAACGGCCGTTTTCAAGGACATATTATTCTTGCACTTAATATCATTAAAATATAACCTTTGATTTGAAGAAAAAAACAAACGGAAACAGGTTCAAATGCCACGACTGCCGCCAGATTGTAGCGTGTGATGTTATAATCGCGTACGGGAAGCTAATGACAGTTCGGATTCGTGACAGTGTTGGTCGAGGTCTTGGTAGACAAGTCGAGCTGAGTGTCTAAAGCCCTTTTTTTAAACACACTCTTTGCCCCCAGTGATAAAATACCCCCAGGGTAAATATACGCACGTGGGCATAGGGTAAAATGTGGTTGTGTTTATATGCACTGTATACTTGGGGGTCGATCATTCTAATATCATATAGACTCCATGATATTATCAATCAATTTAACTAATTTGAGTCAAGACAATGGAGAAGTTTTGATGCAGTGCTCGGAAAAGGAGAAGGCAACGTTTATGCAGGCATTTGCTCTTGCAATAAGCTCGTCTTTTCTACAAGAAAGATTAATCTGGATGAAAGAAAGAAGCAGAAGTTGGTGGTACGACATTTGATGAAGATAAATGGCTTGAAAATTTCAGAATGTCTCAAGACGTTTTCCAATCGGAGCCAGATTTGCGACGTTCATCTAACGTTAGAAGGGGCGGTCGGGTAGCCTGGTGGTTAAAGCGTTCGCTCGTCACGCCGAAGACCCGGGTTCGATTCCCGACATGGGTACAATGTGTGAAGCCCAGTTCTGGTGTCCCCCGCCGTGATATTGCTGGAATATTGCTAAAAACGGCGTAAAACCATACTTACTCACTACCTACTCTAACGTTAGAGAAGCCTTGACCACTGAACATCGCGTTGCAGTAGCTGTGGAGTACCGAACTATCGGTAACTTGTTTGGAATAGCCAGGTCCACAGCGTGTATCTGCGTCCATGACGTCTGCGAAGCCATATATCACAGGATGTTCAATGAGCTGGTCAGATTTCCACGTGGTGAAACCTTGCGGGAGGTTGTTGATGGGTATAGAAACAAATAGAACTTTCCGAACTGCGCAGGAGCAATTGATACTTCACATGTTTCCATTAGTTTGTTTAATAGTACAAAAATAAGTGTATTATAAATCTATCAACGTCTACTTTTGTTGAACACAATATTTGCACTATATTGCCATAAATTGTAAACAATCTAGCCTACTCCCCATGTAACTTAAATATATTTATGTATGACCAGGACAGCAAATAAAGTTATGTCTTATGACCTCTTGTTACCCTGCTGACGTTGTCCTAATGTTCAATTTCAGTCTGCCCCACCAAGCGTAAAAAAAACATTATACATGTGTTGATAAACCACACTGATGCAATTAAGCGAATTAATATTTGCTGTTGGCAAATATCTATTTTGTATATATTTTTGTAGATATGAAGCATTCTAGTTAATTGTGGATACACTGGGCACACATACATAACAAAAACTCATGACAGATGAATTGGTGCCTTGTCAACAAGATAGAATTTTGTTTATTTCCAGGCCATCCTGGTCATCGTTTACTACTATTAGGTGTATGGTTGGAGGAAAGATCCAAGGCGCCGCACAGCATTTATTAGACAACAGACCGGTTCGTCCGTTTCGCTTTGAACAAACCACCCAACCTGTCGATAGGAGTTAAATAATCGGTGCGCAAATAACTGTTTCAAGTCCACAACGGGGCTTGATACGGTGACAGTGTCGAACGATTTAGTGATAGTTATGAAAACATTCGTTGTATATAGTATATTTTCTGTTACTAACTATCCTCAAATTTGCCAAAAGAAAAAGGATATTACCAACAATAAGTCAGCTGACTTTCTCCTGGCTCTGCATGTGGAACTCATGCTTTAGGGGTGTCCTCCCAAAACGCCTACATGCCTACAAACGAACTCTTAATACAATTGGTTGAAATTGGTTCATTTAAATACTTTAGATACATTCATGCTTCAACCTTTACTCGGGTTTAAACCAATTCCGTATTTCCCGGAAAAGTGTTAAAATAAGCAAACCTGCTTGTTCACCATTTCAGGTTTCTCTAGAAATATAATATGTTTAAACAAACCAATCTTAAGTTAATTAATATAATCTTTTACTCAGTTTCAGTCAATCTTTCCAAATGTCGATCCAGCTTATCTTTACCTGGTTCATCCTTTACTTTAATTAGTCTTTGGGACCGTTCCATTATAAGTAGGTGAAATCCCTTTGTTGTTTTCACCAAGTGTAGGGGTACTGGGTTGTAGGTGTTTTGGCATGTTGGCGTTTTGGGAGATAACCGCTTTAGGATAACATATATGTATTGTTATCATTGTATTTTTAATGCGATTTGTATATTTTTATTTACTATCTTACTAACTACATGTTTTACATGAGACGTTTTATATTTACATGTCACCATGAATTACAATTTTTGCTTGTAAGCTCAACACAATTGACAATTGACAAATACTCTAAAACACATGATTGTAAACTAATCTCTGGCTTCTTCTCGGCTGTCTGACACTGGCCGCTGGTGCTCACCAGCTGCCGAGAGTTGATTTGCTCGCTAACGCAACTGAGCGTGACAAGAGACTGGGTTACCGTCTGCAAGTACAGCTAAATAAACTTGGAGGCAATATTTGTTTTACGCATTTTTGAACACTGATTGGTTACCCGTGATCTATGAAGATGGGCGCCTGTTAATTACTTGCGTTAGACTAGTGCCCCAATATCGCAATATTCATTTTAAATTACGCAGTCAAAGCTCAATGTTTACCTCTCCTGGCGGCCATTATGCAACGGCCATCTTACACACAACCCCGCGCTCACGTCTACAGGTTTCTTCCTGTGGTACGGTAATTAGCAGAACCCTCTCCCCAAAGTGTATCCTTCATGACATATCCTACTCTCATAAAGTAAATGCTGCCCCTTTCCCAGCGTTATGACTATGGAGCTGAGACAAAGAGACCCAGACATCATAAAGTAATTAGTAATAAAAAAAATGCTCCGCCAAACCTCATAAATATAATCACCGACAGACGTACTACAGACGGTTAATGTCAAATCACATAAAGCATTTCAAAGACAATAACATTTTCCAGGACCTTGTATTCTCTTCACACCGTCGCCTTTAGAAGCAATGGTCGTATAAAAAAAGATGGATCACAACAGTACTCATCCATTCCAAATCTCCAAATCTCCAAATTACAACATAAGCAACCCTTAAAAGCCCCATTCCGGGTTGCACCAACCCTTAAAAAAGTTTTCATTCCCTTTTCGAGCTTCACTAAACACGTTCTCATTCGGAAAGCGCACGTAAAATCTCCAATGTAGACATCAGAAAGTACATGTGTATTATCATTTTTCGTCAGGATATCAAAATTGTCTCTCCTTGTTACCACCTTCAGATACAGCTTAACGCGGGCCCTCCTTTGGTCAAAATTTTATTTCCCCTGTAATGAGTGTCACGCGTTGCACATGCACACGAGTGACCAACCCGGTGCGCACGGATTGCGTAGGGCGTTGCCCATGCGTATTAGGGAAATGAACTTCTAGGCAGTAGTGTAGTTCTTGATGTAGGACGTGATGTAGGACGTGATGTAGGAAATGATGTAGTTCTTGATGTAAGACGTGATGTAGGACGTGATGTATAAAGTGATGTAGGACGTGATGTAGGGCGTGATGTAGGGCGTGATGTAGGACGTTATGTAGGACGTGATGTAGGAAATGATGTAGATCTTGATGAAGGACGTGATGTAGGACGTGATGTAGGACGTGATGTAGGACGTTATGTAGGACGTAATGTTGGAAATGATGTAGGACGTGATGTAGGACGTGATGTAGAACGTCATGTAGGACGTGATGTAGGACGTTATGTAGGACGTAATGTTGGAAATGATGTAGGACGTGATGTAGGACGTGATGTAGGAAGTGATGTAGGACGTGATGTCGGAAATGATCTAGTTCGTAATGTAGGACGTGATGTAGGGCGTGATGAAGGGCGTGATGTAGGACGTGATGTTGGACGTGATGTAGGACGTGATGTATAAAGGGATGAAGGACGTGATGTATAAAGTGATGTAGGACGTGATGTAGGGCGTGATGAAGGGCGTGATGTAGGACGTGATGTAGGACCTGATGTAGGACGTGATGTAGAACGAGATGTTGGACGCAATGTAGGACGTGATGAAGGGCGGGATGTAGGACGCGATGTAGGATGTGATCTAGGGCGTGATGTATAAAGTGATGTAGGGCGTGATGAAGGGCGTGATGTAGGACGTGATGTAGGACGTGATGTTGGACGTAATGTAGGACGTGATGAAGGGCGTGATGTAGGGCGTGATGTAGGGCGTGATGTAGGGCGTGATGTAGGGCGAGCTGTAGGGCGTGATGTAGGACGTGATGTACGAAGTGGTGTAGAACGTGATGTCGGAAATGATGTAGTTCGTAATGTAGGACGTGATGTAGGGCGTGATGTAGGACGTGATGTAGGACGTGATTTAGATGGTCATGTAGGACGTGATGTAGGACGTGATGTCGGACGTGATGTTGGACGTGATGTTGGACGTGATGTATGTAGTGATGTAGCACGTGGTGTCGGAAATGATATAGTTCGTAATGTAGGGCGTGATGTAGGACGTGATGTTGGGCGTGATGTAGGACGTGATGTTGGACGTGATGTTGGACGTGATGTATGAAGTGATGTAGGACGTGATGTCGGAAATGATATAGTTCGTAATGTAGGGCGTGATGTAGGGCGTGATGTAGGGTGTGATGTAGAACGTGATGTAGGACGTAATTTCGGAAATGATGTACTTCGTAATGTAGGACGTGATATAGGACGTGATGTTGGGCGTGATGTTGTTCGCAATGTAGGGCGTGATGTAGGGCGTGATGTAGGACGTGATGTAGAACGTCATGTAGGACGTGATGTAGGACGTGGTGTTGGAAATGATGTAGTTCGTAATGTAGGACTTGATGAAGGGCGTGATGTAGGACGTCATGTAGAACGTCACGTAGGACGTCATGTAGGACGGGATGTAGGACGTTATATTGGACGTGTCGTAGGACGTGATGTATGTAGTGACGTAGGACGTGATGTCAGAATTGATGTAGTTCGTAATGTATGACGGAATGTTGGAACTTCTAGGCAGTAGTGTAGTTCTTGATGTAGGTCGTGATGTATGAAGTGATGCATAAAGGGATGTAAAAAGTGTTATAGGACGTGATGTATGAAGTGATGTATAAGGTGGTGTTGGACGTGATGTATGAAGTGATGTGGGACGTGATTTAGGACGTGATGTATAAAGTGTTGTAGGACGTGATGTATGAAGTGATGTAGGACGTGGTGTAAGACGTGATGTAGGACGTGATGTAGGACGTGATGTAGGGCGTGATGTAGGACGTGATGTATGAAATGATGTAAGACGTAATGTTGGAAATGATGTAGGGCGTGATGTAAGGTGTGATGTAGGGCGTGATGTAGGAAATGATGTAGGACGTCATGTAGGAAATGATGTAGGACGTCATGTAGGAAATGATGTAGGACGTCATGTAGGAAATGATGTAGGACGTCATGTAGGACGTCATGTAGGGCGTAATGAAGGGCGTGATGTAGGACGTGATGTAGGAAGTGATGCATAAATTGATGTATAAAGTGTTGTAGGACGTGATGTATGAAGGGATGTATGAGGTGGTGTTGGACGTGATGTATGAAGTGATGTGGGACGTGATTTAGGACGTGATGTATAAAGTGATGTAGGACGTGATGTATGAAGTGATGTAGGACGTGGTGTAAGACGTGATGTAGGACGTGATGTAGGACGTGATGTAGGGCGTGATGTAGGACGTGATGTATGAAATGATGTAAGACGTAATGTTGGAAATGATGTAGGGCGTGATGTAAGGTGTGATGTAGGGCGTAATGTAGGAAATGATGTAGGACGTCATGTAGGAAATGATGTAGGACGTCATGTAGGAAATGATGTAGGACGTCATGTAGGAAATAATGTAGGACGTGATGTTGGACGTGATGTTGGACGTGATGTAGGACGTGATGTAGGACGTGATGTTGGACGTGATGTTGGACGTGATGTAGGACGTGATGTAAGGTGTGATGTTGGACATGATTTAGGACGTAACGTAGGACGTGATTTAGGACGTCATGTAGGACGTCACGTAGGGCGTGATATAGGACGTCATGTAGGAAATGATTTATTTCGTAATGTAGGGCGTGATGTAGGACTTGATTTAGACGGAATGTAGGACGTGATGTAGGACGTGATGTAGGAAATGATTTATTTCGTAATGTAGGGCGTGATGTAGGACGTGATGTATGAAGTGATGTGTGAAGTGATGTAGGACGTGATGTATTAAGTGATGTAGGACGTGATGTAGGACCTCATGTAGGACGTCATGTAGGACGTGATGAAAGAGGTGATGTTGGACTTAATGTTGGAAATGATGTAGTTCGTAATGTAGGACGTGATGTAGGACGTCACGTAGGACGTAATGTAGGAAATGATGTAGTTCTTGATATAGAAATAAACTTCTAGGCAGGAGTGTACTTCTTGATGTAGGTCGTGATGTGTGAAGTGATGTATAAAGTGATGTAGGACGTGATGTATTAAGTGATGTATGAGGTGGTGTGGGACGTTATGTATGAAGTGATGAATGAAGAGATGTAGGACGTGATGTAGGACGTGATGTATGAAGTGATGTATAAAGTGATGTATAAAGTGATGTATGAAGTGTTGTAGGACGTCATGTATGAAGTGATGTAGAAAATGATGAAGGACGTCATGTAGGAAATGATGTAGGACGTCATGTAGGACGTCATGTAGGGCGTAATGTAGGGCGTGATGTAGGACGTGATGTAGGAAGTGATGCATAAATTGATGTATAAAGTGTTGTAGGACGTGATGTATGAAGGGATGTATGAGGTGGTGTTGGACGTGATGTATGAAGTGATGTGGGACGTGATTTAGGACGTGATTTAGGACGTGATGTAAGACGTGATGTAGGACGTGATGTAGGACGTGTTTTAGGACGTGATGTAGGGCGTGATGTTTGAAGTGATGTAGGAGGTGATGTTGGACGTGTTGTAGGAAATAATGTAGGACGTGATGTAGGACGTGATGTTGGACGTGATGTTGGACGTGATGTAGGACGTGATGTAGGACGTGATGTTGGACGTGATGTTGGACGTGATGTAGGACGTGATGTAAGGTGTGATGTTGGACATGATTTAGGACGTAACGTAGGACGTGATTTAGGACGTCATGTAGGACGTCACGTAGGGCGTGATATAGGACGTCATGTAGGAAATGATTTATTTCGTAATGTAGGGCGTGATGTAGGACTTGATTTAGACGGAATGTAGGACGTGATGTAGGACGTGATGTAGGAAATGATTTATTTCGTAATGTAGGGCGTGATGTAGGACGTGATGTATGAAGTGATGTGTGAAGTGATGTAGGACGTGATGTATTAAGTGATGTAGGACGTGATGTAGGACGTGATGTAGGACCTCATGTAGGACGTCATGTAGGACGTGATGAAAGAGGTGATGTTGGACTTAATGTTGGAAATGATGTAGTTCGTAATGTAGGACGTGATGTAGGACGTCACGTAGGCGTAATGTAGGAAATGATGTAGTTCTTGATATAGAAATAAACTTCTAGGCAGGAGTGTACTTCTTGATGTAGGTCGTGATGTGTGAAGTGATGTATAAAGTGATGTAGGACGTGATGTATTAAGTGATGTATGAGGTGGTGTGGGACGTTATGTATGAAGTGATGAATGAAGAGATGTAGGACGTGATGTAGGACGTGATGTATGAAGTGATGTATAAAGTGATGTATAAAGTGATGTATGAAGTGTTGTAGGACGTCATGTATGAAGTGATGTAGAAAATGATGAAGGACGTCATGTAGGAAATGATGTAGGACGTCATGTAGGAAATGATGTAGGACGTCATGTAGGACGTCATGTAGGGCGTAATGTAGGGCGTGATGTAGGACGTGATGTAGGAAGTGATGCATAAATTGATGTATAAAGTGTTGTAGGACGTGATGTATGAAGGGATGTATGAGGTGGTGTTGGACGTGATGTATGAAGTGATGTGGGACGTGATTTAGGACGTGATTTAGGACGTGATGTAAGACGTGATGTAGGACGTGATGTAGGACGTGTTTTAGGACGTGATGTAGGGCGTGATGTTTGAAGTGATGTAGGAGGTGATGTTGGACGTGTTGTAGGAAATAATGTAGGACGTGATGTAGGACGTGATGTTGGACGTGATGTTGGACGTGATGTAGGACGTGATGTAGGACGTGATGTTGGACGTGATGTTGGACGTGATGTAGGACGTGATGTAAGGTGTGATGTTGGACATGATTTAGGACGTAACGTAGGACGTGATTTAGGACGTCATGTAGGACGTCACGTAGGGCGTGATATAGGACGTCATGTAGGAAATGATTTATTTCGTAATGTAGGGCGTGATGTAGGACTTGATTTAGACGGAATGTAGGACGTGATGTAGGACGTGATGTAGGAAATGATTTATTTCGTAATGTAGGGCGTGATGTAGGACGTGATGTATGAAGTGATGTGTGAAGTGATGTAGGACGTGATGTATTAAGTGATGTAGGACGTGATGTAGGACGTGATGTAGGACCTCATGTAGGACGTCATGTAGGACGTGATGAAAGAGGTGATGTTGGACGTAATGTAGGAAATGATGTAGTTCTTGATATAGAAATAAACTTCTAGGCAGGAGTGTACTTCTTGATGTAGGTCGTGATGTGTGAAGTGATGTATAAAGTGATGTAGGACGTGATGTATTAAGTGATGTATGAGGTGGTGTGGGACGTTATGTATGAAGTGATGAATGAAGAGATGTAGGACGTGATGTAGGACGTGATGTATGAAGTGATGTATAAAGTGATGTATAAAGTGATGTATGAAGTGTTGTAGGACGTCATGTATGAAGTGATGTAGAAAATGATGTGGGACGTGATGTAGGACGTGATGTATAAAGTGATGTATGAAGTGATGTAGGACGTGATGTATGAAGTGATGTAGGACGTGATGTATGAAGTGATGTAGGACGTGATGTAGGACGTGATGTATGAAGTGATGTATGAGGTGATGTAGGACGTGATGTATGAAGTGATGTAGGACGTGATGTGGGACGTGATGTATGAAGTGATGTAGGACGTGATGTTGGACGTGATGTATGAAGTGATGTATGAGGTGATGTGGGACGTAATTTAGGACGTGATGTTGTTCGTTATGTAGTTCGTAATGTAGTTCGAGTGATTTGTTCATCAGACTTCCTGAAACACCACAGCCTGTGTATGTATTCTCCTGAGAAAAATTAATACTAAGGGCTCTGATTAGTGTACCAAAAATCCTTTTTGTTTATCACGTACATTTCTGTCACCATCGATAGTCCAATCTATATTCACGGTTAATTACAGAATAGCCTTCTTTGAAAGTCAAGACATTTATTTGGTCATCACACTTTATTCAATGACGCACATATTTCGACTGCAAGTACAACCAGCTCAGCCTTGAGTCCAGCCCAAGTGTTTAAGGGTCAAAACTAACTTTTCTTCGGATGTGATCCCTCAGTCTTAGGATGAAAAATAATTTCAGCTTTAAATATATTGTTCATTGGATGTCCTGCTGAGGCAAAGTGTAAGTGAACATCAGTAAATCGCAAAATTTTAAAGTTTATCGTGCATCGTGTCACAAGATAATATTTTAAAAAAACTTCAACCTGAATTGTTTGCCGCTTACCAAAATGTACATGTGTACAAGAACAAAATATATGTGAAAATAATAAAGAAGTACAAATGCTGTAGTTGCATTTGGTCTTAAATTAAAATGACAGCGTTGATGAAAATGTGTTTTCTTATACAAAATGTAAATAATTACAATAGGCGGTAGGTCGTTACGGGTCTTCAGCATTGTCTCTAGTCTCCCAGGGGTTTGTATCAACAAAGATGTCTCCACGTGAACAGAACAGCCCGTCGTCCAGTTTTCTATACCAGAAGGTCCACTTCTAGGATATCAACGCTAGTCAGGAATGACACCTTATTGATCTCTGTCACATCTTGGAAATACGCCATACTGAAATACTCTGATCCATCCACAGAAACCTGCATTTAAATATAAACCATATTTAAAGACCCGAAAGACAAATATACTCACACGCAAAAGAAACGCAAGTGGTTTTAAGCAAATAGGTAACAAACACGGAACCATAAATTGATACGAGTTTTAGCATGTAGTGAAGCCTGATGGTCAACAATGCCACGCCTAACTCAAATTCAGAGAAACCAGGATATCGGACGTTTGGAAGCTAGAGAGTCTGTCCAAGATGTTGCCCGTCATTTCAACGTTAACGTAACCACAATTTACCGTCTCCTGCATCGATACAATGCTACACAGACCACAGATGACCTTCCTCGGAGCGGTCGTCCTAGGGTCACCACACCTCGGCAAGATCGGCAGATTACCCGTCAACACCAGCGACATCCGTTCCTTACTGCAAGTGAAAGTGCTCGACAGACCATAGGAACACATAATCGACACATTAGCCGGGACACTGTGATCCGACGTCTCTGTTCCAACAACCTCAGATGTCGCCGACCAGCACGTCGCCCTGTTCTCCAACCACGGCATCGACAAGCACGACTTCAGTGGGCACATGGTCATCGCAATTGGCGTCATCGTGAGTGGAGGCGTGTCATCTTCTCTGATGAAAGTCGTTTTTGTGTCTCCCATGCAGACGTAAGAGTCAGAATTTGGCGGCGTCGAGGTGATCGTTTCGCTGACAGAAACGTTGTAGGAAAGGGATCCATGGGGTGGACCTAGCGTCATGATATGGGCAGGGATTGGACTTAATGCGAGACTTGGACCCATGTGCTTTCTGAATCTAGTGATCAGACCCCACCAGACTCCATTTTTTGCACAACATCAAGAACACATTTTCCAGCAGGACAACGCTCGTCCCCATGTTGCCAGAGCTACCATGGCCTTTCTGCAACAACACAACATCCGTGTTCTACCTTGGCCAGCCCTCAGGCCTGATCTGAACCCCATCGAACACTTGTGGGATGAGACTCAAAGGCGTCTGCACAATGTGCACCCAGTCCCTACTGCCTACTGCCGACGAACTACGCACAGCTGCTCTGGATGTGTGCAGGAGGATCCCTAGGGCCTTCACAAATCGTCTGATCCACGCAATGTACAGGAGATGTGTGGTAGTGGTCAATGCTAATTGTGGTCACACCAGGTATTGACTGACATTTTGGGTATTGACCCGAAACTGTGTAAGCCCTTAACATTTGAACAAAACAATTAAGCCATCTGCCTTTTAATCCATTAAACTGTCTTCAGTCAATTTTTTGTCAATCTTGCTCTATTAGTATTTCTTGTCTTTACTGTTGAAAATAAATAACATGTTAACTGCATACTCGACTTGCGTTTCTTTTGCGTGTGAGTATATATAACAGTCCCTGGTACTACATACTTGTTTGCAAGTATTGTGCGTACTGTGTTAGTGGTGTCATTACAAGTGGTCGTAATGCACTTCTTTACTATATGCAAAGCCTTATTAAAAAACTTTAAAAAACTTTAATGGTAGACATGTGGAGGACATTTCCAAATTTGACCAAATGATGTCTGATACATTCCCCTATTTTGACATGCACCATATGTTCCCGTTTGTTTTTCACAGGTGAAAAGTTGACTTGCCTTTGCACGTGTTTGTGTTTCAAAATAAAACTGAATAATTAATATTTTGCACTGGTATTGAAATTTTCGCCACAGTGCTTACAATGTTCGTATTCACAATGCAGCTTTTCCACATAAAACAAGAGAGAAAATACTCTAATTTCCGCTACATGTTACCACGCTGGATATACTATTATTATTTCAAGCATACCAATTGTGTTATGTAAAAAAACACTCCTTGTCAGCCAGTCCCAAGATGAACAGAATAAGGAATATGACTTTTTTTTAAATATCCTCCCCTGTCGTCTTCACCTGTATCTTGTCCACTCTCGTCTCCACCAGGCAGGTGGTGGTCGTGTTGATGGGGGTGAAAGGGGTACGAGTTGTATCACTTCCAACGTTCTCCCAAGCGCCACTCTGTCTTTTGTACCACATCACTTTGCCACTGCTTAGAGCCCTCATTTGGAGTGCGACGTCATTGTTACCGTAGTACATGTTGAACGTGTAACTGCAAAAACAAACACATGGCTAAGATATCGCATTGAGTGTTCACAAAACAAAGACAAATGAAACTATGATTAAGTGAGTGAGTTGGTTGGTTTTAACGCCGCTTTAAACAGTATTCCAGTTATTTCGTGGCGTGTCAGCCTAATGTGGGAGTAAAGTCCGAAGTGATGCAGGTTTCAGAGTTGAATCTAGAATTATACATAGAGATTATTAACTGAGTCGGTTTATGTATCATCTATTTGTATCAAAAACAATGATCTCTTTATCATGTTATGTTATTCTTAAAATAGTCGATGTTTAAGAAATAATTTCGCTGTATAAAGTAACTTTAGTGCCAAAATATTTCAGCCCACATTCGCCCACACTCAACACTCATATGTATTGTTTGTAGACCTATTCTACCCCGGATCTTTATGGTGCAGTGTCTTGGTCAGTTCATTCACGTTTTTAACCGGAGGGTATCTTGCTCTTACATGGTGCCCAAGGTGAGCCCAAAGGTGTCCATTAGGGTTCAGATAAGGGTTTGTCATTATGTCTTTTAATTGGATTTGGAATCATGTGCTGACGTACAAACATGTATATTATCGAAAACGCACTTCCGGAGAAGTCACTGTAGTGTGAGTTGTCCATGACGCAACAGGGTGGTGATGGAATAGCTTAAAGGCGACTTGCACCAAACATAACTATGACGCAACACTCACAACACTGTGTGTCCCTTCACCATGTCAGGATCAGCTTGTTGTGGATTCGTATCTGGGACTTACCCTTACATCACCTCTTTGTTCTTCAAATTAGTACACATCAACGACCTGAGATTTTAGTTACCAGAGATGATGATTATGCTTACATCGATCCGGTTAAGCGAGCGGTGAAGTTGATGCTTGCCCCTTCATACATGTTGCCAGGTACAGTCACAGTGAACGGCGCAATCTGAAATTAAATATCACAAAAAATGGAGATAGTTTTGCTTTCTGACACCCGCCGGGTGTACTGAATGAGTGAGTGGACGTTAATTTCCAGATGCACAATTGACTTGCCTTTGCATGTGTGTGTGATGGGTGCAACCTGTGAGTCAGGATACTCTCACCTCTCCACGAACTACTGGTATCAACTGTTTGATTGGCATTCTAGAAGTAACTAATAAGAACATACTTCTGGTTAATTGCATGTAGCGACGTTTCAATGTAGATTCTTACACCGTTATCAAGCTGGAGTGAATACAACCACCATCATCATCATTTGGGATTTTACGTCCACTTCTTGGTTCCAATTTCGTGGACGGGGCAGATGAGATGAGAAATATAAATATCTATAATAGCAATTAATTGTAAATCCTGTCCCTAAAAATAAAATTGGAGGGTTATTTATGAAATCAATCAGAAATTCAGAAAAAAATATAAAGTGTTTTGAACATAAGTATTAACTTATAAAATATATATGAATATCTAATCGGTCAGGGAAAGTAGATCACTTGAGATCATAATTATCGCCAGGGCCTGTAGGTAATGAAAATGGGTTGAAAAGTATTTTTAAAAATGTAAAAGGGGAGGCGAGCCGGCATCATGTTCGAATGAGTGCGGTGCTGATGGCCTTGACCTTGAGGGCAGCTGGTTGGATAAATGAACATATTGTTGTTAGGCTGAATACTGGAAAATTAGTGCGTGGACATCCACCAGCCAAACAACACAAACTATCCAACCAATTGAGGCAGCTACAATTATCCAAACTACACATCCAAATAATGTTACCCCAACAAATTATCCCCACTAATCTAGCAAAAGCGACAAACACCAAACGCCTCGCCATCTGCTGAAGACCAAAGAAACTAACTAAAACCTGTTTTAAACCAACTCCAACCCCAACCCCAACCACCTCAGCTACTCTGAAATTCATCCCTTTGGCCTTCTCTATTGTCTATTGACTCCAATAAATGACACATTCACTATGAACAAGTTTGCCTTCTGTCAACAAAAACCAAGATTGAGTATAAAAATATACACAATTGTGGTAGAGGTCAAATTCCCATTCTCAAATGTTGTTGTGATAGACGTTCAATACACGGGAGCACAGAGGCCCTCCTTTTGTGTAAACTGCAGCGCCGCAGCCATTCAGAATACATGCCCTTACAAAACAAAAAACAATCTTTAGGATAAACAAGCACATCACATAAGTTGACCTACCAAAACCAACTGCAATCACACCATACTATGAAATAATTGGGGACTCACAATCATACTCTAACCAAACATTAAACTATACAATAAACACCCAACCTGAAAAATCTCCTGGCACACACAATCCAAACACAGAACAGCTCCCTCACTAATTTTTACACCACATAAGCTAAACGCCTACATTAACAAAATAATAGACTTTGTCTCAGCTACCATTCTCCAAAAACATCCCACTGCTAAAATCTGCACACCCTTGGTCTCATCTCCGAACTATACCAAACATCCTTTCAAAACATTAAAACCGCCCTTAACGAACTGGATGAATAAAAAACACCATATTCTAAATGAAATTCAGCCTCTTCTCCATGGTTTTTTCTTTTGTCCACCCGATACTACCCCTTATCAAGGTGATTTAACAGTGGAAGTGCAATGCTCGCCTCTCAAATGGGCATGGATATGGGTATATTTGTCAAAATCATTATACCCACCCTAAATTTAGAAGTCCTGCAATCAACAAAGCTAGATTAACAATAATAAATATCTATCACACTTAAACTAAACCATTTACAATAACTGACTTGGCGATACTCTCCAAGTATCTAACTCCAAACATTCTCTTTAGAGGAGACCTAAATGCTCACCACCCACTGTGGGACACAGCAAATTACACAGAAAAATTTGGCAGTTGTACACAAAACGTTGCCAAAACAAAATGTTACCGAAATAATACATTAAATAACCTCAAAAGGCATAAAGCATACACTGCCCACAACCCAGTACCTTGGTGGAGCAAAGAAAAGATTGATGCATTAAAACAAAGAAAGAAGGCTCCAAATCAATCAAAGAGAGACCGTTCAGACTTACAATTGGCTAAACGTTAAAAATCAGGTCTTCAGCAACCCATGCTTGCCGTAAAAGGCCACTTAGTGGATCGGGGTGATCAGGCTCGCTGACATGGTTGATGCATGAAATTCTATCCAAAAGGCATGGATCGATGCTCATGATGTCAACCACTGGATTGTCTGGTCCAGACTAGAGTTATTATAGACGCCATCTTATAGGAGGAATAAATATGACTGCGGCGTTAAACAACAAACAAACAAACACAAAATGGTGGGAGGCATTTTCTCAAACAGTGGATAGATGAGCATAAACGAATGTGTAATGTAGTCAGAAATTACTGTAATGACATAATATTTTATGAGCGCTTCAGTGGTGTGCGGTACTTGACTTACCACACAAAACTGTTTGCTGTGGTCACAAAATAATTTAAATCTTTAGGTCACAAAGGACAACATTTGCTAGTTTATGCTTGAGACATTAAATAATCTTTTACCTGCTGGTCCCCCATCATCATATTTTATAATAATGTTAATTCTTCAAATCTTATGCTTTTCTTATTCCATAGAAACCAGACAAAATTGAGTTAATTTGGTCTGAGGAATTTCTTGGAGGGTTTAGGAGTATAGAAAAAATATATACTAGAGTAGAGACACATACGATTTTAATAGCAGCGATTTTCAAAAAGAAACTTACGTCAGTTTGATAAAATTCTAATTTTTTTTGTCTATTCGTTTCCTTTAGTTGATTCCCCAAAGGTTATTTAAATTACAGTTTGGATTTATACCTAATATTTTAAAATTGCTTGTGTGCCAGTCACGTTTGATCTCCTTGCAAAACTCAACATTACTTCCCTTCATTGTACCTATCCAGATAGTTTTAGTTTTGTCTACATATATTTTCAAGCCAGACATTTGGTTGAACTTTTTCAATGTTTCAATAGCTACACGAAGACAGTCTTCTGGTCCATTCAAAAACTTTTGAGTGTCATCCGCATATTGCCCGATTTTGTGTTCTACATCATTAAAGCGTAATTCCTTTGTTGTGAGGATTTTCTTTAATCATGCATCCTAGTATTTCCGCTACTAATAGAAATATATAAGGGGATACTGGGTCTCCCTGCCTGCATCCCCGTTCAGTAGAGAGATGTCGATTTCGTATAACACATGATGTTGTGTTGTTTATTAAAATATTCATCCATTTGATCACAGTGTGCCCAAAGACATTTTTTCTAATACTTGCAATACAAATGATTTTGAAACAGTGACAAAAGCTTTTTCGAAGTTGATTAACAAAAGAAGTCCAGGTTTGTTTACTTTTCTTGTTTCACACGAGCACACAGCAATCTTATATTTTGGTAAATACATCTTCCTGGGAGAAATCCGGTTTGGTTTTCATGCACAAGTATGTCTAATGTTGTTTTCAATCAGTGTGCAATGTGCGCATGTACTCAATATTTTGTATAATAATTTGAGTAAGGAAACTTGACGCCTTTTTTAAATTAATTTTCTGTCTTTATTGGTTTAAGTTAATTTGTTTTACAAAATGCACTAACTTTTCCACTTCGGCCCAATCAGATAAAATTATTTCCAGGAACCATAGTGGCGCCAAAAACTCTTATATGCACAAACTAAACAAACATCCTAATTGAAAATGAAATCTTTGCAATGGCCCCGGGACCTTCATCAAATAATCATAGTGCTTGTTGATGCTGAAAGTAAACAGGGCAGATTTTAAAAATGTGATGTAGGTCTTCCAGGCTATTGCAGTGAATACATATTCCATAAAAATGTTTTGTCCAAATGAGTCGAGGTAGATACATTGTGGCATTTTGTTGTTGATGTTATAATAAAAAGATTTAATCCATAAGGATTTACAATTTTGAATAAGAATTTTGAAGTTTTGAATTTTGATGTTCTTTTCTATTAATGTTTTGGCCTCGGCCTTACTGGTGTATAACTTAAGTTATGGCTAATTTGGCTGTCAGGTCTGCTGTTTGGTTTCCATGTGGGATGTGTTAGTGGCTAGGTACCAAGAGTAGCGTTATTGATTTATCTACAGATTGTAATACTGAGTTGAGATGGATGATATTATGGATTTGGTCAGGATGGATTTTTTAATGTTTGTTTTGAATGTAGGAGTTTAGTTTAAGGAGGTGTGTAAGGTATAGAGCTTGTGAGGGATTATGGTTGAGTTTTCTGAGTGTGAGTTTATTGGTGTTGTGGCATTTTGTTTGAACTGTTTCGAATATTGAGTTCTGCTGGGCCCCAGCCCGGTATGTTATATTTATTTGTTGGCGTCGAAGAGGAATAAAAAATACACCTAAAAGGATTAGAAGGGTGGCTAGGGAGGTACCAGGCCAATCAGAGCCGCCGAGATTTGGGCCATTTTTACAGGATGTGACCAGGTTAGAAATAAGGCGTGACCATATTACGTGTTGGTCAAATTCAGTTTTGATTGGAAATTGGAAAAAAAATGTCGTCTATCACGAAGTTAAAAGTGTTGGCGATAAAATGCTTCTCAGAAGGGTACCTTTTGGTGGGGGTTGGTGGGCGGGAGAGGGGGGGGGCACCAGGGTACTGGATTGTGTACTGTGTATGTTTTAGATTTGGAGATGCATTCGGAACTATTTCATGTATAATGTTAGTAAAGGTTGGGTTGAATGTGTCGGTGTCGGTGTGTTGTACCTATTTTGTGTCTATGTTGTTGACGAGTTTGGTAAACAGCTGCCAGTCTACGTTTTTGAAGGTATAATTTGCTATACAAAATTCACACAAACATAAAAAAGCGCTATATTCACACTCAAATGAAAGGGTAGTTGAAGTAGCCACCACACGTCTCAGACTCGGTTTGAATCGTGCAATGGAGTCTGTTTTAGTAGAGATTTCTTATGATCATGGAAAGGGTTTTGTCGCCTATATATTTACATTTACACACCCAGATCATATACATAAGGATTCATCTTCCGGTACGGCTGTTTTATACCACAGGACTATAACACTTAGTCTGGCTGTTGGCAACATTCGTATCTTTGGAATAACTTGGAATGGAAAGTACATTATACCTCAGTATTGATTTGACACATCGCCCGTTCTGACAAGAATGATAGAACAATCAGAATTCTTCATACACATGAATACAATACTCAGTAATGGCTGAGGACAGCATTCGGGGTTTTTTTTATAATTAGGTAGAACTTGAAATGTATAGTGCATTTACCATGCTATTCAATAATTGGTACTTTAGCCCTCCCGAAGTGATGAATAATAAAACAATTTGAAACAACCTCGGAAAATGCATTAGTAGATACTGTTAAATGTATGACATTCGACAATAATGGTCGTGGTTTTGTGATATCAATGAGCCTTTATACGTTATTGATGGAGAATTCTCTGTTCAAGTTGAATGATGCAGGACTTCTTCAGATTTCCTGCTCGAGAAAGGAGGTAATTAACCAGATGAAGATTGGTATTTTAATATAAAATGTTCTTATGGAAAGCAATACAATACAATAAGAAGTGATTGGGAACATTTTTACTGTTGTCGCATTTAATTATTCCCTGATGAATGTACAAAAATGAAGAGACGTCGGGTAAAATGCATGCAGAAAACATGCCATCATTGTCACTTGTGTGTCGCCGTATAGTGATGGGGATTTATTGCTTTATAACAGTCGTACAAATATACATAACAATAGCGCACAAGCGGCAAGCAATATGCCTGCATAGGTCAGGGAACTCAATCTGAAAGGGTGCTGTCAAACATTGGTGTGATTTTAAGGGTATAGAATTGGGATAGAAAACGAGTGATGTGAAAACTGAGCATGGTTGTGATAAGACGCATAGCGTTTTGGGACGGAATCATCACACGCGCAGTTTATTATTTGGATGATGATGATGATGATGATGATGATGATAGTGGTCTGCATATTTGCCATGTTTTTCCTGAATCTTGTCAAACACATTAGTGTCAAAAGGGACAGAAAATTCAACAATATAAATGATTGATTTGGATTTATCAAAAAGGACAACATCAGGTTTGTTGGCCTGGATATGTCTGAGGCTGTATACGGGCCTATTTCAAAGAATTTATCATTTTCGATGATACCCTCTACATATTCTTGGTCGTACCATGGATTTACCTCTGAGTCAAAACCACAAGCATGGCGAAGACGGTAATAAAATGATCGATCCACTCTATCATGTCGCTTAAGGTACTATGTTGGAGCTAAAGCTGGGCATCCACCGATGTGTTGGACAGACTCGTTAAATTCATTACATAATCTACATTTTATATTTAAAAATGATTACAGAGGTATAGAGTTTCATTAGTGGAGCAAACGCAAACACTTTTTTCCATTATTTCATATTGTCATCGGAAGCCGTTTGTAGATACATGACATAAAAGCTAAAACTCTTGTATACACAATTTACAAAACTTATCAACAGAAAAATTATCGGCAATTGTGAAGTCATTCTAGTAAAACTAGTGGAAATATAGCATTATTACAAAATATACATTTTCTTTTACCCCATTGCGCCACCTGACAGTTACATTTGCATTACTCAAATATATACATAAACAAACGCGACTGAAAAGCTTCAGGACGCAAACATGCATTTCTGCAATACGAACAGTTCCGGATCCCAAGGACCTTCACCCAGTGTGTGTCCAATTAACAATTATTCCCCTTGTCATATCCTTAAAGGGCAAGTTCACACGGAAATTAACCTTTTTTTCTTGTACTTTTTCCTCATTAAAAGTGTTAACCTAGAAGTGTCATAGACAAAAATATAAAAATATCACAATTAATTAACATATTTTTCGCATTAAAACGATTTATATTTTTCACATTTACCAAGTGTTCTATTTCCACAACAAAAACACCATGGCTTATTCCCCTTGCAATATGACGTCATTGGTGCCAATTGATAAACATTATGACGTCATCATGCTTTGTTAGAGCCGCTTCACGTGGTGTAGGTCTAGATGTGTGATTCTAGCGTCTCAGATGCAAGCCAGCATAGTGTCATGCTGAGTCACCACTGCGCCGGAGTGTGTCGTAGGCCATGTTGTTTTACCGCAAACTGGTACTTGATATCTTTTGCGTTGAGAATAGACAGGGACCCAGTTGAATTGGCACCAATTACGTCATAATCTAAGGGGGATAACTCAGGCCTGTTTAGCTCGAAAAACGAAGGCCTCATAACGGCATATCATTTTTACACTATTGTGAGCTTCCTACTTTCACTGTGAAAAAAATGAGTGTATATTTTCAAACACAGATACTAATTAATTCTAAAATTGCGTTTTGTTTAGAAAAAGAAAGAAAGTGATTTTTGCGTGTACACTTCCCCTTTAAGGTTGCATTGCTCCTATTGCATCGGCTCCTGCATACTTACAGGAACTGATATTACCATACACGCCTGCACGTTTTCTCCGATTAGATGATTAACATCTGCTAGTGGTGCCAAAGTGTCGTACCAAAACATATGGCGATTATTTCAACATGTTGGCCCATTGCTATGGAACAATCTGCCACAAGAAATCCATGAAACAGAAAATCTGACAAACTTTAATCAGACTCTCAAAACCTGCCAAGAGAGCCTTTGACGAGATCAACCATGGTCTAAGCGCATTTGAGCAGTTGATTTTTGTAAAATGCGCTGTACAAATTCTTGATATAATTTATTTGTATTTAATTTAATTTTCTTTTGGCATATAAGCAAATCTGTACGATCTATATACTGTTGGTTACATGTTATTATAAGTTGGTGGCTAGTTCAGTTTGTCGTTGCGCACCTTTGAGGTCGCCTTTTGTTGGAGTGGTCACAAAACACCAGCTTAGAGATACAGTTGTTCAGAGGACCTTTGCACATTCACTTACACCCACAAAATCTACAACAATCACGCATTTGCATACAATACATTTTTTCCATCACTCGTTACTACATGTACATAGGGTCGATATACTGTGTAGTGGTAACGTTTGTCTATTTCCGGTCAGTTAATGAAATGTGGCCGTGGATAACTAACGGATTTTGAATGAGTCCTACTCATTGTTTGCTCTGCAAAAATGAACTGCAAAAGAAGCAAATCGTAAATATCTGACAGAGTGTCTGGACATCCATAAAAAAATTAATACCAAAATGAATTGGTCATTTCTGCATGGGGATTGATCTGTGTGGAAAGAATGAGGTACTGCAGAAATGTGGTGAAAAGATGAAAAAATCGCAAAAACAGCAAGTTAACGGCGAAAACATGACACGACTGATGGGAGCCCAACGCAATAACGCCATCGGCCGTCTAAAAGCAAACAGGAGAATCATCTTCAGCTGTAGCAAGGATTTTCCACGTAGCACCAAGCACAAGACTGTGGAACCTGTATCATACACACGGGACAACACGTGAAGATGCTGGTGAAGTATTGACAATGACGCAGGGTACACTCCATTTGTGAGTGAGTGAGTTGAGTTTAACGCCGCTTTTAACAGTATTCCAGTTATATCGCGGCGTGTCAGCTTAATGTGGGAGGAAAGCCCGAAGTGATGCAGGTCTCAGACGTTTACCATTTCGGTGAAACCCACAAGCACGGGTATGGTGCTGACAAACCTAGAAACATAATCGGGGCGAACCGGGATTTGAACCCACAATCATAGGTTTCTGGCGTGCCCAAGGGACGCAACTCTGCACAGCGAATCGCGGCGCCTTAGACGACTGGGCCACCCGTGCCCCCTCCATATGTGAAATGTACTCACACGTTTAACCAGATACAAGCAGGGAGACAGAGAGACAGATTTAGTTTTTACCTGGTTAGTCCAGTGAGTTTGTTCACATGTGCCTGTTATTGTAGGCCAGAAACCATCATCATCACACAGTACTGCCCCAGGGTCGTTCGTCAACTTGTAACCGTCGTTGCAGACCACGTTCGCTGTTTCAGAGCCGTTCACGGTTGATGTGTGTATGGTGCTGTACGGCACGGGGCTGACGGGGAATGAAGGACATAGCGCTGCAAGGACGGAAAAGGGGCATTGAGGAGTGAAAGTTGTTATACCTTTTCATTTAGGAGGCACGTTTGATGTTGTAGTGACTTATGACAGTGACCTTTAGATAATCGAGTCTGTATATGCGAACCAGAGACTGATTTTGAGAGCAGGGACGGCATGAAAACGAAAACTAACACAATAACCGAGTCTGGACCAGACAATCAATTGATTGACACCATGCGCACCAATCTACGCAACTGGGACACGACGACATGCATCAACCAAGTCAGCGAGCCTGACCACCCGATCCCTTCAGTCGCAATTTACGACAAGCAAAGTCGCCTTTTACGGCAAGCATAGGTTGCCGGAGACCAATTCTAACCTGGACTTGGCGGTTTCTCATCACTCGACGGCTCTTTTATGTAATACTGTTATTTAACATTATACATAACTTTACGTCGGTGGTATATGTTAGTCTAGACAGGCAATAACATCATATCTTTGCCTTTTTCCAAATTATAGACTTAAAATATGTCATTGATAATCATTTTCATTACCAGTACTGTTTATATTCTATCAAAATAATGTCCGTCCCATTCTTCTTTGCTTTGTTTGTTTGTTGTTTAACGCCACACTCAGCAATATTTTAGCTATATGACGGCGGTCTGCACCAGACAATCAATTGATTGACATCATGCGCACCGATCCTCGCAATTGGGATACGATGACATACATCAGCAATGCCAGCGAGCTTGACAAGCCGATCCCTTTAGTCTTCACGGGTTCTTAGCAACAATGCGTAAAATAAATGTAGTACTTAGGACTGCGCCATTGGCGTATTGTGTCTCATTAGGCCTTCCCGTTGCCGTCGCTTGCTATGCAGCAACTGTTTTCTTGTTTACAGAAACAACACGGAGAGAGCACACCCACAGGGTGATAATCATTTATGTAAAGCTGCATGTACGCCCAACAACTTACATGTATGCCCAACGACTTTGTATGGCTGGAATGCAATCATATCTGTCCTATTTCCTATTTTAATAAAATGGAAGTTCGAATTTCCATATTCTTAGCAATAATGCGTAAATGAATGTAGTACTTAGGGCTGTGCAATTGGCGTATTGTGTCTCATTTGGCCTTCCCGTTGCCGTCGCCATCGCTTCCTATGCAGCAACTGTTTTCTTGTTTACAGAACCAACACGGAGAGAGCACACCCACAGGGTGACAATCATTTATGTAAAGCTACATGTACGCCCAACGACTTTGAATGGCTTGAATGCAATCATATCTGTCGTATTTCCTATTCAAATAAAATGGAAAAAACGAGCCACATTATCTAGAATTTTACCTACAATTTATAAAAATATTCCAGCAATATCACGACGGAGTCACCATAAATGGACTTCACTCATTGTATCCATGTGGGGAATCAAGATCGGGCCTTCAAGCGTGACGAGAGAACGCTTGTCACTGGGATAACAGTTTAGACACAGCTCCAAGCCCCGCTGTTTCATATACGATGTTGTTGTTTATTTATGTTGGATTTTACTGATTGTTTGTATTGACTTTTCTTCACGTGAAGTTGTTTCAGACCATGAGTCCATTGCCCAGTTATGGTGTATTCCTCTTATTCAGATAGATAGACACTTGGTTATTTATACCCCCCTCCACCCCCCAAGTACATACGAAGATGTACAGAGCAGCTCACGTACACGTAGAGTTAGGAGGGACAACACCCCCAACCCCACCACCAACCTCCTCATATGAAATATGTTACCTCAAAGTATTCACAAGCAGGTTTTGGCTGTGAAACGTACATTTCCTTGTATTAAAAGACACTGTTTATCACCCGTCTTTCACATTATTTGGTTTATTTGTTGTTTAACGCCGCACTCAGCAATATTCCAGCTATATGACGGCGGTCTGAAGATAATCGAGTCTGGACCACACAAACCAGTGATTGACATCATGAGCACCGATCCACGCAATTGGGATACGATGACATGTATGAACCATGTCAGCGAGTCTGACCACACTGTTACCTGTTCTAGCTTCTGATATCCTTAACAATTCATTCCAACCAGTAGAAAAGCCGTTTATCACATGTTTGTCTTGCAATGAATAATATAATGCATATTAAATAAAACAATGATGCAACTCTAACAAAACATCGGATTACAGCGATCTCAAATTAAAATTAAGTTCTTCATGATCATACACTTCTTTCACTGCAACTTGACAAAACTTATACTCTGCTTGAATAACCGTGAGAACTGACAGATCTGTGCATCATTTGACAATTAACCTAAAACTATTACACGACAGTGAGTGAGTGAGTGAGTGAATATAGCAATATTCCTGCAATATCACGGCGGGGGACACCAGAAATGGACTTCATTGTACCCATGTCGGAAATCGAACCCGGGTCTGCAGCGTGACGAGCGAACGCTTTAACCACTAGGCTACCCGACCGCCCTTTATTACACGACAGAGAATGTTATGTCCGTATATGATTTAGCATGCTTTGTAACAACCCTTAATGTAAAAAATACTCTCAATGTAAAAATATTTTACATCAAGGGTTTCGGGTTCACCATTGTTACAACTCTTAATGTAAAAGATACTCTTAATGTATACTCACACGCAAAAGAAACGCAAGTGGTTTTAAGCAAATAGGTAACAAACACGGAACCATAAATTGATACGCGTTTTAGCATGTAGTGAAGCCTGGGGTGTTCTCAATATTTGTGGTTGCATTTTGGAAGCCCCGAGTAAAAACGCAACATAAAAAACGAATCGCCAAAACGCACCATTTCAATGAATATGTGGGTATCATGCACCCATTTCTCGCGAAATCGAAAATGCACGAACTGTCACGAACTGTAGTGGGTATAAAACTGTGGCCGATTCTTGGACCTACCACTCCTTGGTCAACAATGCCACGCCTAACTCAAATTCAGAGAAACCAGGATATCGGACGTTTGGAAGCTGGAGAGTCTGTCCAAGATGTTGCCCGTTATTTCAAATTTAACATAACCACAATTTACCGTCTCCTGCATCGATACAATGCTACACAGACCACAAATGACCTTCCTCGGATCGGTCGTCCTAGGGTCACCACACCTCGGCAAGATAGGCAGATTACCCGTCAACACCAGCGACATCCGTTCCTAACTGCAAGTGTAAGTGCTCGACAGACCATAGGAACACATAATCGACACATTAGGCGGGACACTGTCGTCCTGTTCCCCAACCACGGCATCGACAAGCACGACTTCAGTGGGCACAGGGTCATCGCAATTGGCGTCATCGTGAGTGGAGGCGTTTCATCTTCTCTGATGAAAGTCGCTTTTGTGTCTCCAATGCAGACGTAAGAGTCAGAATTTGGCGGCGTCGATGTGATCGTTTCGCTGACAGAAACGTTGTGGAAAGGGATCCATGGGGTGGACCTAGCGTCATGATATGGGCAGGGATTGGACTTAATTCGAGACTTGGACCCATGTGCTTTCTGAATCTTGGTCAAGGTCGGGAACACGGCGTCACTGCTCAGCGGTATATCGTCCAAGTGATCAGACCCAACGTCGTTTCATTTTTTGCACAACATCAACAACACATTTTCCAGCAGGACAACGCTCGCCCCCATGTTGCCAGAGCTACCATGGCCTTTCTGCAACAACACAAGGCCAGCCCTCAGGCCTGATCTGAACCCCATCGAACACTTGTGGTATGAGGTTCAAAGGTGTCTGCACAATGTGCGCCCAGTCCCTACAACTGCCGATGAACTACGCACAGCTGCTCTGAATGTGTGCAGGAGTATCCCTAGGGCCTTCACAAATCGTCTGATCCACTCAATGTACAGGAGATGTGTGGCAGTGTTTAAATTTTTGTCAGTCTTGCCCTATTAGTATTTCTTGTCTTTACTGTTGAAAATGAATAACATGTATACTGTATACTCTACTTGCGTTTCTTTTGCGTGTGAGTATATTTTTGATATTAAGTGAAAGTTAATAATCTTTTTTACGTTGAGGCTTATCACTATAAAATAATGTTTATCGAACTTTCATGAAACATCGCAGATTTAATTGACCGTTACTTTGTCTGGATGTGCAAATGACTAATCATTTTTAGATTCCTTCTCTACAACGACCACCTCGTTGTTATATTCAGGCTTCATAAAAGGGTTTATGGCCCCTAACCGGTCCATTAACAGAGTTTTAGGCATAAAACAATTGACATTTTGTTGCAGTATTACGGATATGACAGTTAAGCATACACCAGAATCATATGCTATAACAAACGACAGGAATTCCAATGCAATGATGTTTGGTTAAAACAAACGTAGATTTCCCAAGTACTGTGCCGAGTCAAATATAGCCACTTGAAGTTTACAGGTTTCGGACATGAAGTCTATTCCTTTCCTATAGCAGTTTAGTATATCCTGAAGTAAGACCATTGTTGATTGAAATTAGCGAAAAAGAACATTAGGAATACGGCCTGCAGAGTATTTCATGTCAGTTGGGAACCGACCATTCGATCTTGGGGGGGGGGGGGGGGGGGGGGAGCTGTCATAAGCTCACTACGGAACTTCTTACCAGGCGAGCTGTAAATCTTTCGACATGTTTTATGAATAGATCGTATTGGATTGTGAATAGATTTCGTATTTGGAAGGACTTGTTCGGAAAGTTATTTTCTGCGGACTGAGCGACAGACAGGCTGACACACTGATTCCATTATACCCCCTTCGTTGCGGGGCTACAATGAACTAATAATCTAATGAAATGATATTCACGAGGGTTTTCAAAAGGAATTCATAAATAGATATTTACACATTTAGATGTTTGAGACCTGTAAATTACAAAATGGCGACCGTGAGACCATCTTGGATTTCTGAATGAGGTTATGTTACTGTATGTTGTGCTGATCATCCACACCTAGTTTCATAAAGAGCACTTATTAGTATGGTAAAATAGTCTTAAATAGGGTTAACTATCCACATTTCGACCAATCAGAGGACTCCATTCCGTTGCTATTGTAATAAAATGTGCTTTGTGCGCAAAAATATATCTAAATATCCCTTTTAACAAAATCGAACAACTTAATGTCGACTAATCAGATGCCTCGATTATATTGCCATGATGGTAAGAAACCTCTTCGGTTGAGCCCTGAAATACGTTGTATCTAAATACCAAATTTGAACGAAATCTCTGAATATCGATTAATAAGCTCTGCAGATGCCATTTCCGTTTCCATGGAAGCAAGGTAGTAACGTAAATAAAGTCATATTGTATAGTGTCCCTAGATACACCTTTGTACCAAGATTTAACAAAATCGTCAGTTATGACCCATAAACAAAACCTGTAAATAACGACCAGGTTGTCGTAGATGAGAGGTTGTTGGAATATGAAAGGTGTAGTGTACTTACACAAGTTCAATGGCTCATCTTTTTTTTGTTCCTGAATAAACGCGCACAGTTGAAGGAAGCTATTACGAATAATTAGTCTTCACTTTATTCAGTACTTGTAGGCCACGGGCCCTTTTGTACAAACGAAATACAATTTAGGTGCAAACAGTATAAAATACAACACATACCTTTGCAGTTTTTGTTGTTGAAAAAGCAGTTTTCACATAATTGCATATTATCAAAGTTGGAGTACTTGTGTTCTTACAGCATTGGCGTAAAACAAGTACTTTTCTGTATTCATATTGATAATAGGGTCTTGCGATGACAGTAGTGTATTAAACTTCGGAATATTTTGAAAGACGTAAAAACTTAGCCTCAGATGGCTATAACATATATATGTGATATTCATTTTCGATATGGTTTAGGTTACAAACTTTACATTTTCTAAATTCACGAGGAATATTGAGCTGAACAGAAAACGAGTCCTGAATTTATTTACAGTTATACTACTCAAATAGTTCTCACATGAAATGGATGTTTGTGCATAATAAGCCATTTGGTTTTTTTCGCATAGATAACTATGCCAATCCTGAACAAAAGGTTTTTGACGTAAAATATTTTAAAACGCGGTTTTATTACCACATGTTTGCAAGTACCAGACATCACCAAATCCTAATCTGAAAGTAACAAACTTCAGTTTCGTTACCCAATTTACGTGGTCTTGTTCATCGTAGAACCGCAACATATTGTAACATTTTTGGGGGTAAACGAGATGCCTGCATATTATAAAGAGACAGCCAATATTTGACACATTTCAAAACAGCGAGCGACTGAATAGAACATCTGCCAGACTCGGTTCTTTGTCACTGAACCCCCAAATTTCAGCCCCGTATAATATTATGGGTGTTATATTTGTATCAAAACATTTGAAGTAAAAGTGAGGCGAGTATGGTTTCAAGGAATGTATACTAATTAACAGGACCATGAACAGCGTTATTGCCTCAATTGGAATATTATTTAAGCATTCGACCTCAGTAATATATTGGGGCGGTAGGGTAGCCTAGTGGTTAAAGCGTTCGCTCGTCACGCCGAAGACCCGGGTTCAATTCCCGACATGGGTACAATGTGTGAAGCCCATTTCTGGTGTCCCCCGCCGTGATATTGCTGGAATATTGCTTAAAGCGGCGTAAAACCATACTCACTCACTCACTCAGTAATATATTGCTAAAATACAAGCCAAGATAACTGTATCCAGTAACTTCTTCATACGCATTTCTATCATAATACCATTTTTCATAATGTGATAAACCTCCCCTATTTTGAATAACAACTATTTTAAATTTGTTTTCGATAGATTGACTGGCATTTCCCATTTACAACAGTCATCATGCAAGATATTCAGCTCCATTTGTACGTTGTTGACAGTATTGCCAAACATAATAAGGTCTTCCGCAAATAGAAGTAGAAAATATAAATAAATTCCGGATGTAACTTAACACCAAAACGACAATTTTATTCCATTTTGTAACCAATTCGTTAATGAAAAAACTGAAACAAAATGGGACATTGTGCAAACTAGTCCTTCTTGATTCCACCAAGTTATCTGTATTCATTGCAAACTTTGTTTTTCTTAATAAGGTATGAGTTATCTCTAGTTTCTTCTGAACGCATTTACATAATGGCACCGTTCATGTTTTTTACAGAGACATTCGTCATCATCGGGGAACATGTCACTCGATGCTAAACCATAATCTATCACACTACACCCTAAATGTCCATTAGGGGGCACGGGTGGCCCAGTCGTCTTAGGCGCCGCGATTTGCTGTGCAGATTTGCGTCCCTTGGGCACGGAAGAAACCTATGATTGTGGGTTCGAATCCCGGTTCGCCCCGATTATATTTGTCAGCACCATACCCGTGCTCGTAGGTTTCACCGAAGTGGTAAACGTCTGATGCCTGCATCACTTCGGGATTTCCTCCCACATTAAGCTGACACGCCGTGATATAACTGGAATCCCGTTAAAAGCGCCTTGAATCCAACTCACGCACTCACAAAATGCCCAATAAATGTTCAGTCACCGATTTGATTGTCAGTTCCAAATCTTCCATTCACAATATGTATGTTCAGAATTGAACTCATTTCCAAAAGTGTTTTTCCAAAGTAATTTATCATATGTATATCTTTCAAATTCTGTAAAAAATCTCAAAGTGTGTAAAAAGATCTACTAATAAATAATTATTACTTTCAACATGGTGAATAACAGCGTTCGCCACATAGTCCCGCGTCAAACCGGTTCTACTGTTCATGTACAATGGATCTGTGAAGATCCGGGCTAGAATAGGTCTTCAGCAACCCATTCTTGCCGTAAAAGGCGACTATGCTTGTCGTAAGAGGCAACAACCGGGATCGGGAGGTCAGACTCGCTGACTTGGTTTATGCATGTCATCATATCCCAAATGCGTGGATCGATGCTCATGATGTCGACCACTGGATTGTCTGGTCAAGACTCGATTATTTACAGACCACCGCGTTAAACAACAGGCAAACAAACAAACCCAAGTACAATGATAGAAGCAGCTGGGTCCTCTTCCAGTGTACTCAATAAAAAATACAGCAAAATCTCTACCCCATTTTGTCTATCTTTGTTATTATTACCAGGTCGATCTCTCCGTCTGGATATATGTAAACACACATAATGTAGATCTACTGAAACCAAACATACTTTTATCCAACAGAATAGTAATAGCATGTTATCTATATCGAAAATCAATTACACGTCTTACCAGTGAATATTTTATCAAAAGTATTCCTCCCGAATACCTCCCGAACTTGGACCTTTTGTGGCTTGTAAACAAAAAAGTTTATATTCTGGAAAAATGTCACTTAAGTAATTTTCTTTTGTCTATGTTTCATATAAAGCAACAATGTCATGTTCAGATACAAAAGAAACAAAGCCAATGTCGGACAGTTTGATGGTTAAATCTTCTATATTCCTTGCAATGTAAGACATGCTTTTGCATAACCTTCGACCTTGACGGCAGCATCCGCTCCTAATCCACAGTTGCGACTGGAGCCGACAACTGATGCTCATAACCTTCCAGAGTAGAACCTGGCATGTCCTCAATAACAAGCCTGCCATTCTTACAATAGTCCCTCTTCAGATCTGAACAAAGTCAGTTTCTCACGCTGTCGCTTATTACGAATAATTGCAAGAAACCGAGCAAAAGCAATAAAAAACGTGAACAAAAAGAATCCTATATTTCCAATCAAACTTTGTTTATGAGAATATTTTACATTAAGGGGCGATATGTACGATATTAACCCTTAATGTAAAAACAATATTTTTTACTTTAAGGGTTGCGGGTTGTTACTCTTAATGTAAATGTTTTTACATTAAGAGTGAACACGTAACCCTTAATGTAACAATTTTTACATTAAGAGTAATTTTTAAATTAAGGGTTGTAACAATGCTTAACAAACATAGGTTTCTGGACAAATCTCTGACTTGTTGAAAGGAGGTTGATGCAGAGCATTTATGTAGAACCGTCAGTACTTACAGACGTATTTAACAGAAACTTACTGCCTGTATATAGTTAACCGTGACCATACAGACATAGCCAGATTACATATAACTCATTACAGAAATGAGTCTTGCGACATGTTGCTCATGGCTTCTAAAACGGTTTCATTTATCAAAAAACGTCAACACTTACGTCTGAAGTACACATCTCCCGCCGAAGGTTGAAGCTCCGTGGCTCGGAACAAGTAGGAATGGAGGCGGCATGTGGAGGAGCCTTCATTGTAGAAGAAACACAAACACCCAACAGTCTTAGAACAAGAAAGCGCACATGCTAGTTGTTGCTTCGCGTCTGCAGTTAACAAACTGTTGACACTTACTGAATTAGACACTGCTTCTTGTCGGAAAAACTTAACAATATCACAAGCAGAAATATCATTTTCCAAAAACAAAATTACAAATATGCAACATATGTATAGAAACCAAGCCATGATGTCCATTGTCAAATGTTCGGGATTCCCCGGGACGGACGAAGTGTTCAATCCCGGGCTTAGAGGCGGCTCGTTCAGACTGAAAGATTGACGCATGTTTATTGGGACACCCATGGTAATATTGATTCAGTGTTGTCAACGCAATCCAGAACAACGGTCCGTTAGAGGGAAGCAGTATTTATCTTAGCGACTTTATCTAAAGGAAATTATCACAAAAGGGTACCAAACATTTTCACAGGTTTTTCGCAATCTTTGAAATAGCAAAATACTTGGACATTGTTTGATAATATGGAGTCTCGTTTGAATATAAAACGTCAAAGCTAGAGAATATTAAGTCTCGATTATCCGCCGATCGATTATCCTCCGAAACAGATTCTATTGGGCAAAGAAGGCAAAGTAGCGGTGGCCATTATATGAATGTGTCACTGAAAATCAGTGATGACACCAGGTGTTCGCACAAAGTTTAAGAATTTGCTTCAAATGAATTTACAAATTTATGCCGAAACTGTAAGATCTTAGAATCCTTGTCCGCAAGCTGGGAATTTGTCTGTATCACACGAATAAAATAAATGTACATGCCGAACGCAGTAACAGATCGTATTGATATCAGGAACGGTTTCTGCACACGAAGTTGACATTTGGCATTCCAATTATGCACACGAAGTTGTATCATTTTTTAAAGGGAACATGTACTTTTATTGACTATTATGAACCCAACATATACACCTGCGCTATGAAAGGTACCATAAATCATTAAATCATTTCCATGTAGAAATAAGAATGTATGAACTATCTGGTTCAACAAGTTCGTACACAATTTCTTAAATAAAACGACAAAACGAAATGGGTGAGTATGCTCTGCGGTAGGTGTACTTTAAAATGACGAGTATATCACATGGCCATCTAAAGTCCATGTAAGTACAGACTGACCAGCTTTTATTTGTGGTAATACGCAACGACAATTTTAGACTACTATGCAGTTTGAATTGTCAAATGGCAGTCAGTGAAAGACAGATGGCGACGTTAGCCATAAAGTGTGCATTTTTTAATATGCATGGTAGAATTTATATAAGCTAGAGGAATGTATCATGAATTATGTGTTTTGCTGACCATTGTGCAAAATAATTGCACTTTTAGCGTTTTCTAGACAAAATTCAAACAGGATAACATTAGGATACTTCCGACATGCAACAAGCACAATGTTGTAATGTTTCGGTTTAGTGCTGACAAACCAAGAAAGATAAGGTACTTTGATGATCAGTCTTTAGATACCTTGTATAACTCCGCACCTACTAGTGGTGTCCCATCCTAGTCGGCCTGTGTGTTTATCGGACGCCTATTCACAAGATCAATACGCACAGATACTCTCCATGTTGAGTCACATGCATACAAAACTGTCAAACCTCGACACTACTGAGTCATCTATAGCACACATTAACGCAAAACTATTCAAACTTGAACACAAAGTATATAAGTAGATCATTTGAAATAAAAAATGACTGATCAGGAGGGATGTGTGAATTTCGTTATTCAGAGCTTCGACGACACCATTGAAAGAGATATAACATCACTTAAGGATAGACGAACCAGTCATCCTAAACCTGCAGCAGGAGAACTTACATCTGTAGGGAAACATCTAGTTGATCCAAAGTGTCGTGCCATGTGTGACAACTTAACAAATACTCAAGAATCTGAAAGCCAGTCTAGTCTCTTAGATGGTGTGAGCAGCCACTGCGGCAGTTCATCACTAAGAAATTTAAAATGGAGAGTGTTCACCTGAAATGTGAACGGGTACACCGCATATGACCACAACGTAAACCTACATAACATAGACATAACCCAAAAACCCCGACCACTAATTGCTGACTTCATCTACACACTTGCAGAAGATGCGGTTAAGGGGCGGACAAGGAGCTATTTAAAGGGAGATGACCACATCTTTGAGCAGTTCGCGGAGGTGAGCTCTTACAGGAAATACGTACTCATGCCACGTCTCAGGGAGGCTAAATCACAGAACAAGAGATCAACGTTGATAAACTTGACATAGAGAACCCCCTTCAGAAAGTACCACCACCCCAATACCGTCCCAGACTCTTGTATATTCCCTTATAACTTTCATGAGTTTAGTTCTATTAGCTTAGAATCTGAATGTACTTCCCACTAATATATTTCATGCACTGTGTATTTCATGAGTTTAGTTCTATTAGCTTAGAATCTAAATGTATTTCCCACTAATATTGCATGCACTGTGTATTTATCCGTTCAGACAAATGTATGTTCCCAAGAACATTTTAGTTCAAATGAATGTGACTTAAGAAACAGATTTAAATTATCCCGAGTGCGTATGGCTTCTTTGCAACCATGATGTTATTGGGTTACAAGATACCAAAACCGAAAGTCAAGATGATGTCAGTATTCATTGATACCTATTATTCCTACATCACGCCGTGTTAAACCCAACTCACTACCTATTCCTACATCCAGGAAGGAAGCCCCCAGACGATCTGGTGATATTTGTTTGGCTGTGAAGGAACATTTGTACAAAAGGTTTTCATTTTATGAAAGTAATGATTATTCTTTGATGTTAATATATCAAAAGATTCGTTTGACGTTAGTGATGGATATTTATTTATCTTGGTGTTGTGTACTCATCAACTACAAACAACAGAGGAAGATATACAAGAAACGTATTAACAAACACAATGCTGAGTATAAGAAAACAATGAATCAGACATTAAAAGCTAGTTTTAAATACTCCCCTGAAGAAGTTTGGAAAATTCTCAACGCTCATGATTCAGAGCAAATACATATTGAACCAGATTTGGAAAAATTATATGAGATTTTTTAAGAATCTAAACAGCCAATCAAATGGAGGTAACAATGATATTTATGATGATAATGAAGACCCAGAATGTGAGGTGAGGTGAAATGGGGTTTAACGTCGCGTTCGAGATTATAGCACTTACTTTTCGACGTGCATGCACGTGTGTGTGTCTGTGGTTTTGTGGCTGCTTGTTCTAGTCCGGACCAATGCCGATTTATAGTGCTAGCCCACTGAGATACCATACCGCAAGTTTAAAATGACTACCCCACTCAGACCAATACTAACACCAAGCCGACCAGACCTTGTTATAGTCCTTCAATGTCGAGCGCCAGGCAGGGTAACAACATGTACCATTTTGAACGTCTTTAGGTATGACGCGGGCTGGGATCGAACCATCGACCTTCCACTCTCCGGGCGGAATCTCTACCTAAAACCACGGAGGCGGTCACTTAGACCTCAGCCAGTATGAAACTGACATATTGAGCAATGATATTGCACTTAAGGACATACAGTGTGCCACAAAAGATTTATAGGGCAACGAGGCATCGGTCACAGTTTATATTGAAAATAAATATTTGATTGACACTATTATCTTGTATCGGCCTTCTTCTACCGATGTTTCAACCCATTTTCAAAAGCGCATTTTTAGATTTCACGAAAGGTTCGGTCTTTTGGAGAAAAACAAAACGTTTAAAAGTGGTATTAACGGTAAATTCCTAACATTAATAAAGAATCTATATTCTCATATAAAATATATTTAATGATAAACAATATACATGTGGTACATACCAAAATAGGGAGTTGCATCGGACATCATTTTTGTCACTGAAGCGTCAAAATTGAAAATGCCCTCTACATGACTACCATAAACCTGTTTGAACGCTTCACTTGGGCCTTGAATGCTGTATCCTTGATCAAACAACTTCTGAGCAAGAGTTGTATGACGCTCTTTAAAATCTTAACAGAAATTGCATGCTCAATTGTACCTCATAAGTTGTGAAATGTAGACACCAAGGTCTGGGGCTGGGGCTCTTGCTCGACATAAGGGGATAGTAACTATTGTAAAGTTGAAGTCATCCCGCTTGTCATACATTCCTGTGGAGAGTGTTTTGTCACTCTGAATCTTTATGCACAAACTTCATGCCTTGATCCTTGGGGCCTTTGTTCGAAAACGTGGTGACCATAGATACAGTTACATATCTAACTTCAGATGTTCAGGGCCATTTGTGAAAAAAGAAAGCAAATGCTTTCTAACTTTTACTGAGAAAACATATGCGAAATGCTGAACTTCCTCAATGATATAACATCTCTGTAATATTTGGGGGTAAGACAGAAAAAGTAGGCATCCCCATTGGCACCAATTGTGCTCCCTTCCTCGCTGATCTGTTTCAAAACAAGGTAATCTATTTCAAAACAAGAACTTTAATTTAAGCTTCAGGTATATCGATGGTATGATATCGTTCAATAACCATCTGTTTCGTATTTAGATCTGTCCAAAGTTGAAAAATCAAATTTGCTTACAGAATTAAACATGATTCCTTTCTGGTTTTGCGAAAAATCTAGCAAATCTAGTTTTTGAGAGTTTTTTTAATTAGACTTGTCGCAAATACTTTCTGTGAATATCAAGAAAGTCCTTCCGTGATTGTGGTTAGGATTTTTGTATGAAGTTTTATGGAGCTTTGGAATCCAGCACAAAAGAGTGAGTGAGTGAGTATGGTTTTACGCCGCTTTTAGCAATATTCCAGCAATATCACGGCGGGGGACACCAGAAATGGGCTTCACACATTGTACCCATGTCGGGAATCGAACCCGCGTCTTCGGCGTGACGAGCGAACGCTTTAACCACTAGGCTAGGCATGTTGTCATGGATGTATGAAATGGCCTATAACCTGAGGTAATTACCTAACATCTGTCCCAAGGTGATGACCTCACACCATCCCGTGCATTCTCACAGGTCCAAATGTCACCGAGTTGGGGGTGGTATCACAATATTGCTGTTATTGTACTTGATTGACATGTGCGTTGATGGGGTAGCAATTAAGGATATGTACTGCATTATATTTGTTTGGAAACATGATTGAATAGTTAAGAGCTATGGAACGGGATGAGAATTGGAAGGCTGCGGTTTTGGAATCCAGAAGTATTTGTTATTCTATATATGATTTCTTGAGGTAGCACGTATCTCCGCCGATGACCGTGTTGTGCCACCATCACATATGTCCTGTACTTTACAGGGTTCTTATTCAGCCGAATTTTCTCCATGAGTTGAACTTTCGTTTCATATGGTCTGAAGACGACAACGCCACATATACCTGTATGGTCGCCTTCAGACGACTCATGGTTTGGGCGACAGTATCTGATTCCCGGACGTTATATTAACTGGCGTTATCAATGACAATGACACTGACGTTGTTTAAAATGGACAATAGCTGAAGTTCCAACCAGTCTTTGAACACATCGTCTCCTATAATTTCCTTATGATAATCACCAGTTTTCTTTTTCGCCTCGAAAACTAGCACACATCCATCAATAAGCCCCATATCATGGGTTGCAGCGTGAAAAAACAATGACACGATTTCCTTTCCCTGATGGTCTATGGGTGCGTTTTGTCCATCTGCCGATAGACACATGTAGTCAGTGGAATAATTCACCAAGGTACATTAACTGGACGCCCTGACTGTGATAGTTATGAATGATTCGGAGATACAATGTGACCACATAGACAGGATGGAATATTTTCCCCTGAAAAATGCTCGGTCATCGCCACGCGCAGTGTATCGAAATCCCATTTCTTGGTGGGAAATAGTTAGAGCAGTTAACATTAATTGTATCTTTAATTCTCCCAAATTCTACAACAAGTCAGGGTTACCTTCTGCTCATAAAGCTTGTACACTATACGCCTAATCCTTTTTTAAAAGATGTCTAATATCATTTTACGTCCCAGTATTGTTTTTGAGACCAATGCTGTACCTGTTTTGTTTTATTTATCAAACCATCGACTTGATAGTATGAATTGAAAACCATATAGCTTGGGCAGTTCGGTTATTCACCCTGTCTAAATTAATAAATGTTAACCCTCTTTCTCTCTAAAGTGTAAAGAACGTGTACACATTTCCCAACACAGACTCCCTATCGTGTACCATAGTTATGGCTACGCAAGTGTAATGTAACATGCGACATCGGAGCAATGTTAACAAAACAAAGGCAGCGTCATTTTAGAAGACGCATATCTAGAATTGTCTCAGAATGAGTTTTGTGAGTGGATTAGATGTTTTATGAAGACTACATTATTATCATTATAAGTCACGTGCGCATATTTCTATAGTCCGTTTCAGACTGCCATCATTGGACTTAGAATAAATGTAAACTTCCTGTTTTCGTTCGAATTTGTCTCCTGTCTCCTTCAAACCACGGGTAGGTCGATCGGTAGTTGATCCCTTTTTAACAGGCAAAAAAGCAGTTTTCAAGCATTTTCGACTGTACTTTAGCGCTTGGTGACGGATAATTTTGCAATGCTTCGCTCATACAGTCTGACTCAGAGAGCCAACGAGTAGGTAACAGATATTTTCTTGGCGCTTCATTCACTATCTGCATGTCATTTCTTTCGTACATGTATGTTTTATTTGTGAAAAAGTATTGTAAAGGTTTCAACGCAGTTTTATTTACTTGCGATATTCTTTATGCCTATGAACTATGAAGGGTGAGTGAGTTTCACGTGCCTTAACAATTTTTTAATTCTTTATCAAATTTGACCAGCGTTTCTATACAATGTCATGCATTTTTGGTATGCCTTCATAAATTAGGGTCGTGAT